CGAAATGAAATGATATGTCAATCAATCATTTTCATTTGATCGATTTCGGTGGGCGTAAGTCGTGTTGTTTGTCAAATCGAGAAAGTTCAGCTAGCTGCTTCGTCACTGAGGACAGATAAATATATAAAAGTCCAGCGAGCCCGGCGAAATTTTAGTGATTAAATTTAGTTTTTTGTTTCGGAACTTAAATCGAACTCGCAACGAAATCGATGACCTTAATTGGAAGTGAACTGAAATATATGCTCCATCATGGCGCTTTTCTTCATCGTTAACGAATCCACTCGAGTCCAAACACATGTTGGCAATCGATGATAAATGATTATTTATAATGCCGTAAACACAAAAGGCACAAGATCCTGAGGCTGGAAAAAAGCAAGCAAATCAACTGGCTATAAAAGCTCCAGGAATTTATGTCTATATCGACGTCCTTCAAGGCATAAAAATTCCACTCAGCCATGGGAAAATTTTTTGCCCATTTTGAACATATTATTTATTATTGATTTTATGAAAGAACATGTTCTATGTGCTATGTGCTCTTTTTAATGCCGTTGCTCTTTAAATCCAAGGCAATTTAACTGCCAGCTTGGTTAATTTTTTCACATAAACGCGCTTAATTGGCCAAATTATGTGTGCAAGCAAAGTAAAGGGGGGAATACATCGCAAAAAGTCAGCCACAACGCATTAAAGGTAGTTGGAAAAACTGAGCGGAAATACGAAATTTTTTTACTTAACAATGTACTCAACCATGAACACTCTTTAGCGTTAAAATTGATGGACCTGCGGCACATGAAGTATTAAAAAATATATAGCAATGTATAGCTGAATCATTTTTTCGTAGCGCATGAACGACTTAAAAATTCTCTTGTTTATTATTAATCGTTTCCAGCATTTCAAGTAAATATGATTACATAAAAATTAAAGGAGCAATTTATATTCCTCTAAAAATTAAGGGTGGTAGCCAAACATATATACGAGTATGTATTATTTTACGACGATTTTAAAGGACTCGCATAGCAGAAGTATGCGAGAAACGTAACACTCCGCTAAAATGGGAAGGATACAGAAAAATGCTGCCAATTGCAGTTGGCTTGTGGTTGGAACACGGTGGTTCTATGTTGGCTTGGTAGCGGTGACGTTTAATTTAAAATGAAATACATCATGCTGGCCAATTATTTGAGCAATTTGGCAAATTAGTGGCCCAAGTCATTTCGGCTAGCCCACGAACAGAGGCAATTACCAGGCAGTTTTCAACTCTTCTCCCGCTTTCCATGCAAATTATTGTAGCCCACTTTCCTGCAGTTGCCACTGCTGCTGCTAATTACCGCACAAAGACAATTGGTTGTAGAAAGCGAGAGTCAGAGTTTCAAACTGCACAAATGTCGACTGCTTTTGGCAAGGTTAACAACTTGACTTTTGTCAACGCCGTCTCAAGTGCGGCTCTCAACAATATCGCACGCATACAGTGAGCTCCACGAATGCCATGGGCCACGTTAAAACGCATTTCTGCCAAAACAATGGCGCCAGCAAACGAAGGGTGAAATCTGAATGGGATTTAGACACAAGGCGAACGGGCACAAAAATACGCAGAAACGTGAAATAACAGCAGCAGTCAAAGCGGGCCACACAATGAAATTTTAATTAAGTCTGAGCTGCGACTCGCTTTGTGCTGATGCAGCCAAATGAAATGCCACTGATTATGTTTGTATGCCCGCTACCCATTCATTTGAGTGTGGTATACGCCGACGGTAAAAACCTAAAAAATCACATTTATCAACGGATTATTCATACAATTATTTAGTTTGACTTAATGGTAAGTCTATATGAAAAAGCCTTAAAAATATGTCAGTCCAAGATCTATTGCAATCTAAGAGGTACTTTCATGTTCAGCCGAAAGCAACGAAAGCAAATTGCGCTTGAATAGCTCGTAAACTGCTGGCACATACACATATTTGTTGGCGATTTTTCCGTATGTATAGTATGCATTTACTTTCCTACTTTTACTTGGCCCACCACCACCCACCGACACCCAGCCCATTCTACTTTCTACTTTCCCCATTTCGCCATGCATCCGTTTGTTGCTTTGTTCTACGTCTGAATGGCTACACAAATACAAAACGTCTGCACATTGTATCTTGTTTAGTATGAAACATAAATGCATTTGTGTAATTACACAACATACACAACTGTATCTGTATCCAGAGAGCCTTGTTTTGGGATGTCTGCTGGGCTGGTCTTAGCCCACTGGGAGGGTGGCTAATAGGGAAAGGCGCGATGCAGGCTCCTCACTAATTGAAGTAAATGTGCTAAAGGCTAGCCGAAGTTATTCGCAATGGGAGTGTTCTTTAGCTAATGATTGTTAATGGATTCATTAGGAATCCCTATTTTTACTTCCAGCTAACTGGGGTAATTTAATGTTAAAGGGGTTGCGAAGTGCGGCAGAAAGAAATGCTCTTGAAAATTTAAATCAAGTTAGATGAGCTTAAATAGCAAGCCGTGATATGCAAATACAAAATGTTCCAAAAGAATTGCAGGTATAAATACAATTTGAAACTATATAATGTCGGTCTTCATTGTCTATTTTAAATTCTTCGTTGAAAATCTTAGCAAGCGCCTGTCAAGCGCAGTCAATAACTCTTGTTTCTGATCCATTTAATCCCTTTTCAGACTCAACATCGCAATCAGCTCGGTAACAACTAAGTGCAACAATTGCCTCGGTAATCGAATAGTTAATTATGCCCAGCATGCAACAGGCCAGGTCAAAGGCGCTCCCATTTAGTTTTCATTACGAGTTTGGGGGTTGCACGTGATGGGCATGGATAAATGAAGACAAATAACTGGTTCAGAACCACAACTTTCCTTCCGATTTGTATGCATAGACTGACCACAGAACTGTAATACAATGGAAAAATTACTTGCTTACCTTTGGATCGCAGCGTTCTGTTTCCTGCTTCCTATTTAATTAAGCACTTAATTATTTAATGCGCTGATTGCGCAATATTTCAAACGACTCCATGCTTAGCTCAACTTAGCCAGAGTCCTTCGAATTTGAGCTATAAAGTGGACCTCAGTAGTGGCACACTTAGTGAACTGTACCCCAAACGTTTGCTTTTTGATAAAGTATAAAGTAATTTGTAAAATATGAATACACTCTGTGAACATTTGATTTAAATATCCCTAACGTATTTAAGCTATAGGGTCCACCCTAAAAAGGAAGCGTGTTGATGCCGGGAATTTGAGTGTGTTGAGGTGTCATAATTATCGCATTGGGTAGCCCGAATTTAATCAGATCACCGCACCATAGGTCAAGTCAAGGTGTGGCCCTTGTTTTCCATTTGATTGCGTTTCCCCAGGCTGAAATTAAATGAAGCGGGTAATGAATTACACTGAACAATATGAAAAAACCAATGACATGTGTTAAAAAATATGTTCCTCTAAGTGCAATAAGTAAATCTTATTTCTTATGCTGTCTTCATTTTCTATAAATTTAGTTTAAGGTTGATTGCTAACTTAATTTTAGGTCTTAATAGTGTACTCCATCTTTTCATTGCTGTTTTGTTTGATTACAACTTTTAATTAGATTTGATAAAGACCCCATTACACTTGTCTCGAATTCTTAATTGAGAACATATGTGCCTGAGTGGTACAGTAAAATTTTAATAAAGTCCACCATCGACTTGGTGGCCCGTGCATTTCATTTCCATATGCTGACTCTGTCAACCGCCTGTCCCTCTAATTAAACTTTATGCAGAAGCCAGCATTTGTTCCTCGGCAACGCCTTATTAAGCATTTTCATTATCCTGCACTTGACCAGCTCGGGCCCTTTTAATATTGCTCATTTGCCCCCATTTCCAGAGAAAAACGAGGAAATAAAATAGAAAGGGAAATGTATCTGGGGTTGAGTGAGCGTAATTAAATATACTCCAGCCGACACCATCAAGTGCAATGAACTAAGTGGATTAAGTGCATTTAGGAGGGCGAAAAGAAAAAAACAATAGAATGATGTGCTTATTGTTTCAATCACATTGATTATTTGCGAATAAATGAATCTGGCCCTGTCCATGCATTCATTATGCAATCAACAGTTTTCAATTAATGGCTAAGACAACATGCCCCGCTCGCCGAATCCCAATTCCATTAAAACACGAATCAATTTAATAGAGTTCTCACACCACCACCCCCTTCTTCCAAATACCCATTCTCTAGAGATAAAGCAAATATTGGTTCTCCACGCGATGCATGTGTATCGTTGATACAAAAAAAGGAACACGGGGAAACAAAATCAATCGAAAATGTTTGCTGCACTCAAATTAAAAACACAAACAAACCAATTCCAGGCTAGTGTAAGAGTGAATGTAAACAAAGTGGCAAATAAATTTGATTTGTATGCAACAAACGTGTGCTGAGCGAAATAAATACACGGAAAAGAAGAACTCGAGCAGCAAAATTTATGCGTTTCATGCATTTAAAATGGTAAAACAAGCGAGGCCTCACACATATACACACGTGCCCCTTTTGGCCCTGGCATACATATCTCAGCCTTGTTGTGCGGCACAAAATTTGCGCTATTAATATTTGCATTCAACTGGCAACAGCCCAAGCAGCCGGATTCCAACCCATTCCCATCGCATGGTGCAACTCCTCCTCTCAACACTCCTTGAAACTATCAACACATCTGCCAGCGGCATTGTCAGTTGACAATGGTCCTTTGGGGAGATGAAGGGGGCAGGGAGGCAAGGGTGCAGGGTGCAGGGTGCAGGGTGCAGGGCGCAGGATGCAGGATTCCGGGGCCAGTGGCTTGGCAATGGTGCGTATTATGGCTGCAGCTATGCGAGGGTTTCAGGGCAGCCGTACATGGGATTTCTCTATATTTAAAAAGGCTCAAGCGACACTTAACTTCTGCTCGAAGCACGTCCTGCCCAGCATGGGATGCACTGTGGGAAAATTCGTGTAATAAGTAGTAGCAAAAAAAACTCGTGTCTGTTGAGTAAGGCAATTTTCATTCTATTTCAAAATTTCGTGGTTTTACTTAGACGTACCTTTCAAATGAAATTCCTAAGTGATATTTTTCGAGTCGCAAATTTGTGCCACATAGACGAAGTGTTCCAGGCATGGCCTTCGTCGTACCAGTCGAGGATTCCCCGTAGACTACGGATGCCTGAGCAACTTGATCCCAACTACTTGGATGAGCCGGAGACATTCTCCGTTGGGCGATTCATCTTCAAGCTCGCAAAGATCGGAGCGCTGCTGCTGATTTGGGCATTCTTCACCTGCATTCTGGTTCAGAACGCCACTACGCCGGATAAGACCTCGGTGGTCACCGTGTTGCCCAACGAGACCGTGCTCCGCCGCCTGTCCGAGCCCCATGATGCGACTAGGATAACGCTCGAGGGTGCCATCGATTTGAAGGCGCAGAAACCTCAGAGTGTGGTCACGGATAAGCCCTTTGTGGGTGTACGCGTGGAGTGGCGGGACTCGGAGTTGAACACCACATACTGGCGCTCCGATATGTGGATTGTCTATCTCCTCAAGCAGAATAATGATTTCTCGAAGGCTGCCAAAACCTTTCAGATCTCGAAGGTTAATAATGCCAAGGCGGTGATTTCACTGGAGGGCCAAGTCGAGGAGCCAGTGTCCCTACTGATGGTGGTATCGGCTTATCCCTTGATAACGAAAAATGGTGTAATCTATGCCGCTCTGCTACTGATCGGTCTGTATATCCTGATCGTCTTTGAGCTCACAGATCGTACATTCGCCGCTCTTATGATGGCCACCACTGGGGTGGCGATCCTCACGGCGCTGGGCAACCGACCCACCCTGGAAACAATTATCTCCTGGATTGATTTCGAGACCCTGTTACTGCTCCTCGGCATGATGATACTGGTGGCCATAATGTCCGAGACGGGTGTATTTGACTTGATGGCTGTGTTGGCATACCGAATATCAAAGGGTAATCCCTGGCCAATGCTCTTGTTGCTCTGCTCAATTACCGCCACCATATCCTGCATCCTCGACAATGTGACCATGCTGCTTCTGATGGCGCCCATTGCGGTCCGTTTATGCGAAGCCATGGCCGTCCGGACACCACTCGTCCTGATAGCTGTGGTGATGTACTCCAATATCGGTGGCACCCTCACACCGGTGGGTGATCCACCCAATGTGATCATTGCCACCAATCCAGAGGTGATCGCCAAAGGAGTGGATTTCGTTGTATTCACCCTGCACATGCTGCCAGGTGTTTTAATGGCGGCTGTATCGGGTTATTGTGTCATTTATCTGACTATGAGAAAATCTTTATTTAAACTGGACGACCGACAAGTTGAGCTGGCTGCTGAGCGGGAGAACAGTAGACGACGATCGAGCACGGATATTACGGCACGGGCCGAAGAAATACGTGGACGACAGAAGGGACGTCAGTTCCTAAAGCCCGCCGAAAACTATTTCCAGACCCTGGCCTATTTGGAGGCACATTTCCGCATCCGGGACAAGACGCTGCTGATCAAGTGCTTGATCACGCTGGTTTTTGTGATATGCTGTTTCCTGATGCACTCGCTGCCCTTTATGGCCGGTGCCACATTGGGCTGGGTGGCCATTTTGGCCGCCTTCCTGCTACTCATTCTGGCCAAGATGAACGACATCGAAGCGATACTTGACCAGGTTGAGTGGTCAGCGCTGCTCTTCCTGGCTGCTTTGTTCGTGCTCACTGAGGCGGTGGATCAATTGGGCTTCATTCACTGGCTGTGTGAGTGCACAGTCAAGGTGATCATGAGTGTCGACGAGGAATATCAGACGACAGTGGCCATCCTGATAATCATCTGGCTGTCCGCCGTCCTGTCGGCCTTTGTCGGCAATGTCCCGGTGACCACGATGTTGCTGAGACTGAACATTGAGTTGCACCGCAACGATGACATCCACATTCCACTTACGCCCCTCGTTTGGGCCTTGTCTTACGGCGCCTGTTTAGGTGGTAATGGCACCCTGATCGGGGCTTCGGCCAATATCATCGCGGCGGCGATCGCCCAACAGTATGGCTATAAGATCTCCTTTGTGCAGTTCTTCATCTATGGTTTTCCCATGATGGTGGTCACCATTTGCCTTGCAACGGTTTACCTCCTCATCGCGCACTCGCTGTTCACGTGGCACAAGACATAGTTTTTCAGTTTTCAACGCCAATATTCAATTTCCCAGTGGATGCTACTCCAATTTTGCAAAGCGTACAGTGATTCATTTTTAAATGTATTTGGATGGCTGCGTAAGATAAGTAAGCTAATTTTACCCATCTACCCAAGTTGTTTTAATATATGATTATAAAATCTCTAAATTTATTTTATATGAGCAAACCCAAATTATAATAAACCACGCAAATACTACAAATTTTTAACATATGTTTTAGACTAATCAGAATTCAAGGGAATTCCACCCTTTTCGCCAACTGTAATTTTATGTAGCATACTTTGCTGCGCAACGACCCCGGCGACTCGAGCTGCAATGACAATGCGTAGCTTGGCTAAATTCTTCCGCTTAATCGCGCAATAATAGCTCAAGGGTGTTAAATATGCATAAACAGCGGAAACAAAGGCAACAACTGCGATTAGAACTGACTAGATCTGTGTGCAGCAACCAGGGTCCTTGTGGCTAAATATAAACCCGAGTGTAAGGACTATCGGATTCAGCGCTCGGGAGATTTTAAGTGTAGCAAATTAATTGGCGGCAATTACATTCGTTTATGAAGTTAATTTAAAGATGCTCTTAAGCCACGAAAAAAACACTCGATCTGGCGAATTAAAACGAATTGGATGTTGAGCATAACAATTCGCATTTACTTGTGGCAATCAAAAAATTCTTGGGAGTAACGCAAACACAAAACCTCGAGGGTAAACATGGGCAAACCGAAAACAGCAAAACATGCAATACCCCGATAAATCAACTAATTAAATATTCCAGTTCGCAGGCAAATTATTTGATTTTTGCAAATTTAAACAACCCCTTGTACCCTCTTTGCATTTTTGCTCTGATTTGATGTCGCGACTTAAATTAACGTCAGTAAATAACAACAGCAGCAGATATATATATTTACCAAAACACGCGACAGCAGGAAAAATGAGTGAAATAATATCAAATGAAATGAAATAAAATAAAACGAAACGAAACGAAATGTCTGATTGCGTTGGCGTTTCTGGCTTTACGAGGTTTGCTTGCCAATGGCAAACATGAAAGCAGCTCTGCATGTGAGTAGAACACCAAACAAAAATCGAAACAACAAATTGAATGTAAGCCGAAGCAACAATATGGGGCAACAACAGGCCAGAGCAATGGCAACGTAACGCTAATTACCTTAATTGCACTGGGCGTGTATGAACACTTGATGAAGGCGACGAGGACAAAACTTTAACTTGGCCTTTAGCCTCTAACATTACTGGCTCGTAACTCTCAGCTTGGCATAGAGATGCCTCCGCGAGTGGACGGTATTTTATAATCTAAGTAGTGAAAATGTCAAAAATGTTCTCATGTAAACTTAATTTTTAATAAGAATTTTAAAAATATAGATTCAATCTTAATATTTGTTTTGTATTACCCAATTTTAGTTAGGTTTTTAGGTAATTCATATAACTTAACTGAACTTGCTGATGTACATTTTTTAAGATCGAATTTCGAACCTTTTTATTAAGACATTGTTGAAAAAGTATCCAAATTATAATGCAATCAATATATAAATAAGACTAGTTTTGGGAATACTTAAAACAATTTAGTAATTTCTCTATATATGTGTGTAATTTCCTTACTTGCATGATCACCTTGCCAACTCTATTGAGGCCAGAAGAACTCGCGTTACCAGGTTACGCGAAGCGTCACGTTGGCATCGCGTGCTTACAACGTGTGCTGGGTAGTATAACGTATACGCCAAGGTGGCCAAATGTGTAGAAATGAAACATTAAATTACACTGGATTCTCGCTGCTCCCGAGCTGGCCTCTCACCCACTTATGGCAGCTGGCTGGTCGCCCATTGTCTCCCGCTTTTGACCCCTCTTTTTTTCAGGTGTGGTTTGCACGTAGATGGCGCACGTATCTGTAATTTTAAGCACTCCGCAGGAAACCGAAGGATAGTCAGACATACCGCCGGCGGTTTTGCTCTGAAGTGCGCTTTAATAGTTGGCTGTCTGCAGCTGCCGCAGCTGCCGCAGCTGGGAAATCGGAAAAGCGAAAATGCAACAGCACCGTGCGGCATTTGAATGTGGCGTGTCGGCAGACCAGAGTGCTGTTTAATAAAATGGTGGGGCAAAACAGAAGTCATGGCACATTGGAGCTGCAACACGAACTGAAAGTGTAATTATGCAGATGTTTGAGGATCAGCCACAACAATGATTTATGTAGGTCTGCTTGGCACAAATGTCGCCCCTAATTACATCTGCAGCGAACTAGAGACACCGAAGAATGCATAGAATTAACCTCACCTGCCACACACATGAAAAGCCTGAGAAAATCGGCTTTCACCTGGACAATCATGAATTAAATCTGTAATCCCAGACTTGAGGACACAAAAGTAATTAACTCAGCCTGACTTGTATGCCCAGGGCCATCATCAATTTCTTGACATGTCAGTCCCTGTCGGGAGTTGGTGTTAATTCTCGTCTAATTTGTAATTCACCTGTCCTCCCACACGACCAGACCGGCAGTTAAAAATCCTTTAGGCCAACATAAAAATGCCATTAAGTCTGCTAGTGATTATCCTTGTTTTGTGGGTGTGCCCATTGTTTGTCTGATTGGTGATGAGCATTATTAGGGATTAGTGAAAAGGACAAGCTAGTTGTACCAGATTATTTATACACAATCAGGCGCCTAAATAATTTTAGCTAACCAATTAAAAAGCTACACTTTAAGTAAAAACAAGATAGAATGCTAAGTCGAGTTCCTCAACTATCAGATGTCGGTTACTCAGCTAGTGAAAGTGCAAACGAAAAATTTCAAAATTTTCTGAAATATCGGTAAAAAGTGCAAAAAAAAATAATAAAATGAAAAATTTGAATTTCTACAACATCATAACATCGGAAAAAATTAAAAAAAAAATAAAATTATAAATTTGAATTCAGATTTTTAGAGATTTCCTCCAGAAACATTTAGAGGTATGCCACTTTAAAATCCGATTAAGTTGAGTTATGGACTTTAGAACTTCAGTCTTCAGTTTGTACGGACATACGGACATGGCCAGATCGACTCGGCTATTAATCCTGATCAAGAATATATATACTTTAAATGGTCGGAAACGCTTCCTTCTACCTGTTAGATACTTTTCAACGAATCTAAACCCTTTTCTCTACGAGTAAAACTAGTTAATTAAGGGCATCACTCTGTCTTCCTTAGGTAAACGTATAAATCAAAGTTGCCAAAAAACTAAATCAGCTTACCAGCAGAAGCTCTTTCTGTAGCTCGCACTAATCTCTTCCAATTATGATAAATATTTATCTTGAGTTTCAGCTCTTACCACAATCCCATCACGATGCCATCTTTAGTACCGGACCTAAATATCCTTTGGTCACGCACTCTAATGTCCGGACATAGTTTTCCAGGCTAATAAGCAGACATTGGGCGATGGGTCAAGAACATATCTCAGCCGAGTTGTCCTTGGTACGACTATTATTGTTATTTTGATAGGCCCATTGCATTTTTTACATAGCCCTCTAAGGACGGCATACATTGTTTACTGATGGTAATAATGATTACTTATTTCGAGGATTTCATACTCGCTCCACAGAGTGCTGCCCGGTTTTATTGGCATTGTTAATATTTGCTTTGTTGGCATCCTTGGTTTATTTGCTCTGGATTTGCAAGGATACCACTCCACAGCGTAGACACAGGCTCATTTAGTTTTATTGCGCATTTTGGATTGTGGCATTCGGAAAATTTAGCCGGATGCTTTAGTACTTTAAAGATGCTGCCTCAAGCTCTCGAAATATGCTAGCTATTTGAATTGGTTTATTCACTTGAGGTTTACCAACCGAAAGCGGCAATTAAAATTTTCATCTTTATGCTGAGATTCCTGCCTATTTTCCAGAAAATATTTTATGAGGCCGCAAACCATTTAAATCAAAATGGAAATGTGTGCTAAGTAATAATTATAAGAGTGAAAAATATATGAACATAATGATTCTTGAAGGTGGGTAGATTATTCTACATATTTCAGGATCCGCGAAACTTTTGATTAATGGAATGGAGAATATGAAAATGAATGCCAAATAAGCAACCCAGAAACGAAAGTCTCCCAAATGCCAACAGAGGATATTCATAAATCACACAGATGTTCATTAATTCGCCGCTTGACAATTGGTCAATGCTCGCGATTTAAAATGCATTAAGGATACGGGGGCACACACAGAATATCAGTAAAAATAATACGACCAAAAAACACAAAAAACAAAGCTCTCAACGGGCCACAGAAATGATTAATGATAAATTATTTTATGAGGCCAAGGAAAATCATAAGACTGAGGCAGGTTGAGTACATCGCATTAAATGTATTTAAATTATTATTACACAGCCAAAGTGAAAGGAGGGCAAAGGACCATTTGATGTGCTGCGCAAATAAGAAAAGCAAATAAATCATGAATATTAAGTTACCCGGCAGAGAACAAAAGTCAATTGGCCAAAGTTCGTCTGATGGATGTGAGAGTTGCTAGGCCAGTTGAGAGCTCAACGGCTTAGAAAATGACAATTTTCATTTCATTTGATTAGACGTCTGTACCAAAACTCAAACTCAAACTCCCCGAGGGACAAAAATGTTTGTGCAATTGGATTCAATTTTTAGATCCAGGTCCAAGGAATTGAATGGTGCCAGTCAAACACCCACACACACACAGAAGCAAGCGTTCTCTTTCTAAGGATAAGTCGATTTGTGTGTATGTGTGGGCTAGGACCTACTCTGAGGGCATTTTTGGTTTTCGGTTATTAAATTCTGACCTATCTGGGAAATCCTTCCCGTGCTCCAAGCTGAATTTATAGTATTTTTCATATTTCTCTGGCATACTTATTGAATTCAAAAATTTGGGAAATGGCTTAGCCATTTTATATCACATTTTTAATTTCAGAACGTGAATTCCTTGGGAAAGAAATGGATTGGCCGAACAATTTAAAAATGTACGTTTTTAGGACGCAGTATTTTTATTTTTGTTAGCTAATTGCCTAAGTGACTTATGATGTTTCAGTAATAAAGTTAATATTTATAAGTATCTAAAAAATGTATGTAAGAGGACTATGTACTACGTACAAAGATTACTAGGAAATAAATACAATGAAGATAAAAGCATTTCCGACTTATTTCACTGAGGCCAGCTTAAATGGTTCCATCAGTAAGACCCTCTTGATTCCACCTGTTTGTCAAGTAAATGCAACGAAAATCTTATGGTTAGCATAAAACACACAATCCCCAAGCCGCAAATGAAAGGCACAAAATCCAGGCAATACAGGGACCCAGTCGAAAGCATAGAAATGCGGGGGTAAAATAAGAAACAGACGGAAAATGAAAATGAGGGATGGTAGAGTGGGGGCGTCTCAAGCTACGTAATTTCGTCCAAGTGGGTGAAACAAATGTTGAGATTGCAGGCCCGAAAATTTCGCAAAGGAAAAACCAAGCATACCACTTTCGCTCACTTTTTCCACACCCCTTGACCCAAAGCGACTTTTTCATATTTCCTACTTGAGACGAAGTCGAGTGGGGCTTTAAAAACGAAGGAGCCAAGCGGCAAGACGAAGCAAGCAAATGACAAGCCATAAAAATTGAGTATACGCATTGGTTGCTTAAAGGATCAAAGGATGCGCACACACACCCATGTATTTATTTTCGTTGCTGTTGTGCGTGGGTGTGCTTGTGCTTGTGTTTGTGCTTGTGTTTGATGGCATTCGATTGGCATTTTCAATGTATGTAAGTGGCTGCGTGTGGGGTGAAAAGTTATTGCATCATAATTTCCCCCACTAAGCATTTATATTGCACATAATTACATCCACACATGCCCACGATGCCGTCTATAAAGGGGATAAAAGATGTAGGATATAACTACGCACACGCAAACAATGCAAATTGAGGGCACTATAAATGTAAAGGATATCTCCCGACAGAATTCTTTACCATGAAAAGGCTGAAATCACTGGAATGCTCAATGCTCTGCTAGTCGGGTGAAGTCCTTTTATATAGTTGCATTTCAAAAGCGTAAATAAGTACGGATTAAATCCATACATACGTGTATTACAAATAAATATATATATTTTCAGTTAAAGTTGTTTATGCTTACACTTGTAAAAACTGCGTATGAGCGTTAAGCCTTAAATACATATTTATATATTATTTTTCTTTTAGGTATTGATATTGATGTACCTAAGAAATAATATATTTTTTTTAATGTTGCAACCTCTAAGGAGTATTGTGTTTGAAAAAAGAAGAATTGATTTCCTTTGTATGTAACCTACCAATCACATAAACCGATTTTGTCGTAGATTACCCAAATATTTCCAGCCCTATTGGGGCAATACGAAGGAAATCGGATTTTTAATGGCAGTGGTTCCCCTCAGAAGGGCATTCAAATGGCATTGCAGACGGAATTCGCCGGGGAATGGGAATGGGAATGGGAATGGGTATGGGTATGGGAATGGAAGGTGTGGCGATAAAAATGCGTGTTAATGTTTATGCCGCCGGCGAGCGAGGACAATTGTCCTGCGGGGCGCCAAGCCGAGCTTATGGCCGAAACCATTATGGACAACTGCAATGGCGATAATAACGCCTCGCTGATACTTCGCACCTGAGACCCATTGCGCCGCACCGCACCGCACCGCACGCCTCTCCTTTTCTTCCTCACAGGTGGTTGGCGCCGCGCCGAGAAGTATGCTATTAAAGCGAAAAAAATCCAACCGCCGCCAGGACCTCCAACGAAATGCTGCCAAAAACAAAAGGAAAAGGAATAATAGCTACATGTGCGAGTGGCAAAGGGGTATTGCAATTCGCTGACACAGCGGCCTGCAAATGTAACACAAATTTTGCGGTTTTGCGGCCTTCCCGGCAACAGCAATAATACTACATAGCTTGTAAGCTTGTTAGGTGTGAAATATGCTTTTGGCAGCGACGTTTTTGCTATTTTGTTTGGCTGCATATTAAATAAATAGCATTTTCCATGGAATGGTAAATCGATTGTGGCCAAATGACTGCACGGCATAAATCGTATTTATTGGCTGTGAATTCCAGGTGAACTGTTAAAAGATTTTATTTTTTCGTATAACTTTTTACATTTTTTGTTTTTAGTTTTTGTATATTTTTTCCACAAACAATAATACCTCGCAGTCGTTTTATTTGTAAACCGTACAAATCCCTGTATTACACAAAATTTTAAAGACATTTTTAAGTTGTCGTTTTGCAAAGTTAATTGTTTGGGTTTTGGCCCACGGCATTTTCACAATGATATTGAGCAATAAATTCAAAAAACACGAGGCTTTACTTTTCCAGCCTCGGGGAAAAATTAATTAGGCGCTTAAAATTCTTTAAGCTTAGTGAAATGTGAAATACACTGAAGTTTCAAAGTAACTGACTTAACTTAGTATTGAAAGGTTGTATTTAATTCACTGTTGTACTTTAAGAAATTCCCAAAATCAATTCATCGTACTCAAACATATACAGCAGGTATTAGGGTTAAATATCTTCCTTTTTACCATACGAAAACTGGTTGTAAAAACTCTGAACCACTTTGACGGCAAAACATCAAACGGACTTTTTAGCTACAGTTTATATCGTACGAGAGGTGTTGGTATATGAGAAATTGCGTCAACGGATAGTTGACAGGGATCGCTCATACGCACCGTATTCCGGTACCTGTACCTGTAAAGCTGCCGAACGTCAAAGTGAATGCTTTTTCCAGCTGCGTTTCGCAGGGGTTGGCTACATTAATTGACACGTGATAATTTAATTAACGTGGCAGCCCACAAGCCTGCAACTAGAAAGATCCGAAAGCGTGTATATCGAAGATTCGGAGGAAGGATGGAGACCGGTTCCACTAATTGGGTCAGCTTCGGGGCTTGGAAAGGGGGAAAAGCTGGGACGGCGTGTGTTCATCCATTGTTTTCCCATCGGCCCAGGGCCAACGTTCTCGTCCCCGATGAACAGAATGGAGTGGAGTATCTCTTAATTACGGTGTGCGCGTGTTGGCATAGAGGGATTTTCTTGTTAGCCTCTAACACCAACCAAAGACCCCTCAAATGGCCGTAAAACCCCGAGAACCTCCACCACCACTCTCATTAACCACTTTGCATTGTTCGCCACAAAGTATGCAACAATAATTGACAACGCGCAAAGCGGAAACAAAACGCGAACTAAACGAAAAGGGAGCTTTGAGGCAAAGTCCTGGTTATTTGCCTCATTATTCAATGGAAAAATGCTGTTTATGATATTAATTACGATAGGGAACTTGTCCTCTTAGGTTTCTTTTGTTTGGCAATGGTTTTCCAATGAGCTTTATTTTGTTAGCTTTGATTTGGCCCTTCAGGAAACGTAATAAATTGGGGCTATACAATTTACTGTGTATTAATATGCCATGTTTCGTAAAACATCATCGATTAATTAAGCAACTTCATGTGATATTATAATACCACAATATTTAATAGAAATTTAGTAACATAATTAAGAAATTTATATTTAAAAATTTTAAAATTCAATTTTATGCCTTATGTTTTTTTTATAACTTATACTCGTGGTTACTTATGTTATCGTACTTCCAGGCTTTATTTATAAATCCATCGTTTAGTCACTTCTATGCAAGTACATATATTGAATACATCAATGCCCACCATTTCATTTATATACAGATCCAACATCATCTTATGATGAGCTGCGAAATATTTGGTACACTCAATTTACTTAGCAAGGGCATTAAAATTAAACCTGATTTGCCCTTTGAACGGCTCAATTTGGGGATGTTGCAGTTGGCTGCCTTGGTCGGGATTTAATTACAAGGACCAAAGCGGCTCCTGCAGCGCCAATGGCAATATAAATGGCAATGTTGAAAGCGGTGCGCTGGGCCCGCATCTAAGCGCATTAAGTATGCGCCGCGTGCACCAATTAGATTGAGTCAGCTGCCTGGACTTATTGTGTGCACACCTCCTTTGCCATCTCCTTTCACTATTTTTATTTTTGTCGTTTCCCATCCAATGCGCTTACAAACCAATTAACCTTTTGCAGTGTAATCGCTTCGGGTTTCATTATTAGCCGGGGCGAAAGGTGCGGATTTGCGAAGCACTTATTTGTCTCATTTTGCAGTGATGACCGCTTTAGAGAACTGCTACAAACCTTCGGGCATCGTCGGTGATTAACTTGTGGTCAAATCAAAAGCGAGTCAATATCCCCTAGCAACCAATCCAGTTCCAATCTCAATCCCCTCAAATAAAGGTGAGCTCTACGGCAAAACTCCTTTCAACTCCGCCGAGAAATGGGCGTCATAAGTCTATAAATGGTGGATAGTCATCACAAACATTACTATTCTGCCATTTGGACTTATCTCAATATTCTCTTGAGCCGGAAGAAATACGCTTAATGGAACACATACCTTCTTGATAATTTATTTGGGATTACGAGTTACTAAAAAGTAATACAAGCTTTCTAATAATTCACCTCAAGGAAATACTAACTGAAGCACAACATTAGTTCAATATATGATCCACATTCTGCACAAATTTCGATTTTCACTTTTCTCTCGTTTTTAAAAACACATAACTAAGAATTATTATATAGTACGCATGGAATCAATCGTTAATATAATTAAATATCATACCTATCAAAAATAGGTATAATTACATAAGTCTAATTAGCTATAGTTCTTAAAATATAAAATTAGATCTTTGCTATTTAAATAAAATTCAATGAAACAAATTATAAATAAAAAATAATTCATGAACAAATAAAAACAAAAATGAAGCAACGCTTTTTTTGATTTGTTCAATCTGGTGTGTGCCCTGACTAAATGAGGTGAGTGTATTAGCCATGCAAGGAGTGTGTATCAACTAAGTGCGGAGGGTAATCGATACATAAGACCAAACAAGTATGTACTTCTCATCACTATAGCTGTGGTCCTTTCTACTAGATCGATTTCAACTTATCTCTTGTAATCGATAACATTGTTGTTGTTATCAAAGCTTTCTTATCCGAAAAGGTTATTTTATATAAAAATTGTGATTTTAAGTAACTCTGCGTTAGAGCAGTACAGGTTACAATGAGCGACAGCGATGGAAACGATAGCTTTAGCTCTGCGCTCGACAGCCTCCCTATAAACATTTGTTTCCCTCTCGGAAAAGGAGAAATGAAAAGCATCGAGAAGCAATTGGATCGAATTGTTTTTATACAGCAGGCGGATACTACATACTTTACGGCACGTCTGTTTTGGTGGTGGCCACGGCCAATGAAACGTATATTTACGACATCAAGGCCCTTGGCTCGATATTTCCGGAACTGGCCAAGATTCTGGAGGCGGATCAGCCGCGCAAGGTGGTCCACTACAGTCACCGGATCGCCGATCATCTGCTGCATAGGCAACGCATCTCGTTGGGCGGAATCTTTGATACCTTTGTGGCTCTGTGCCTGAAGCGCCACGAAAGATTTCCGTTCTCCTTATCAGAGGCTATATCTTTCGTCTTCCGACTATCAATGGATAAAATCCTCTGCGACGAGGTGACTGGAGCCTGTGAATCGCGGCGAAACTTCACTGCTCGTCCACTGACCCGCAGTCAAATAAGATACATGGCCAAGATGGTCCACCTCCAGCACATAATGCACCATCGCTTGAATTATAGTGAAAACTTTTGCGCCGAGGTCCATCGCGTATCATTAGAGTTTAGCCACAGCTTCTTCGGCTTCCGGTCCTGCGATGTAGCCATTTACATGGCACCCGCCAGTCGCTTTGGGTTCCAACTTATAGATTCATTCTACAATAAGACCGACGGGGAGATCGAGGAGAGCACCAAACGGAAGAGTTCACCAGGAGTGGCATGGAATAACATGTCCTGGAATTAGCCTAGTGTATTAAGTATGAACTTAATAACAATTATGAATTCTATGAATATTTTCACTAAAATATAAAAAACAATTTTATTGATCTCAAGTTTAAAAAAAATGACAATGATTCTTAATATGTACCGATAAATTATATCGAAATGAAAACTAAAGAGGCCGGACTCATTCAGATCGATAGCTTAAAAGCTGGTCACCTTAAAAGCAGCAACTGATCAGCTGTGCAAAGAATAAGTTTGTATAGAAAATCTGGAGGTGCACTAATATGGGAAGAAAATGCAGAAAGACAAACCAAACAAAGACACTTCTTCAAAACCCTGCAAATTCAAATGAACTATGTATAAAGAATGCAGAACATATAACTAATCGATCCCCGATTTCCATAAAAGCGGAAGATTCCACAGATTTATCTTATCCGCAGACTGGGTTATATGAGGGTAAGCTGAAAAACAGCAAACAAAAAGTTACAAATTGCTAATCAATCCCTTACAGTGGTTATGCTAGAGGCGAATAATCAAATTAAGGAGGAGTTCGCCCTGGAGGATCCGAGTGAGGAAGAGCGCAATCCAGAAGACGAGGAGGAAATAAGCTATCAATTGGCTGGTCCGCCAAAGCTGTGCTCAGTATGCTGGAAAGGCTTTCCTAGCGAAGGGTTCTCCAAACACGTCTGCATGGGAACCAACGCTGCCCAAGAAGAGGATGAGATAAGCTATCACTTGGCGGGTCCACCAAAAATGTGCTCTAAGTGCTTGGAGGCCTTTCCCATCGAAGAGTTTTCAGCTCACACTTGCAGGGACATCCATGCCGATCGATTCTCCTGCAAAATTTGTCCCCGAAAGTTTCGTTACAAGTCGTTGCTGGTCGTGCACTTAAAGTGAGCATAGTGAGCAATATTAATAGATACATCGGAATAAGAAAAATCACATTATAATTATAAAATTAAGCAGTAGGTGACTTCAGCAGATTGGTTTTAACATGCTTGTTACACTTCACAGAAGCCACCTCAGACTGCAAAAAGGCGAAAGCATACCAGAACTGGAGTCAGCGAAAGCCACAACTTCCAGGAACAAGCATAACTTCGAGTTAAACTACTCACCTACTCCACGGTGGAAGATATCTCGACGGAGAGCAGGGATGCTGAAGCGCAACGAAATGCGCGTGCATCAACAGCGCCTATGCCTCTATTGCCCCATTGCCTTCTCCAACGAATCCCATCTGGAGAAGCACCTGAGGGATCACCATGCTGAGCGCTTCAATTCAAGCGAATTAATAACCCCAGATTTCGAGACTGATGGTTCCAAACGGATCTGTGTCAAGTTCGAGGATGAAGAAACAATATAATGCAATAACTATACAATAACGTACCAGGTTTTATCAGGGGGTATCTGTATTTTAAGCTGTAATCAACAATTTTTCATTTCTTTTTAATTTAAGCTATAGACTGACATATCTGCTTAAAATGTGATTCCAATTAATCAACAATGGTAAGGAAATATTATTGTTAAATACATGTGGGGTTCACTGTGTTTGCTGTATTTAAAAGTTTAAAAGCAACGAAATGCGCTTAGCTGATAATAATACATTTATAATAATAATAGTTTTTAATTTTTAAATATTACAATTTTATACCTTAATGTTTTTTTATATACAAATTACATGAATTGCTTCGCATTTTTTAAGGCATAACTACACATATCTGTAGGTGCCGGATTTACAACGTTCCACGCATGGACACTTCATATTGAGCAAGGCTTCAAGTCTTTCTCTGATGTAACCCACTTGTGGCGTAAAAAGATTTTTAAGCTCCTCAAAAACGTGTGAAATAAGTTCCGAGTGTTCAAGTTCCCTGTTCTTCTTCATAATGCGCGCTATTGCAGCATCCGTTTGGTTTGCTCGCCTTATTTTTAATTCAGTTATGCAGTTATCATCGAGCTTTCTAATTTTGGTCTTGTAACTGATGAAGTCAAGGCGACGTTTCTTGTTTGTAAAGTTCATGTTTACTTCCACAAATGCTCCATTATAAATCAGCAACTGTTTCTGGTTCAAGAACTTCAGTTTCTAAAAGAAATTAATTTATAGGTAAGTCTAGAGTAATTGCAATTCACATCCTGTCACTCACCCCTTTAAGCGTCTCCACTTCTACGCCCAAAGCCAACGCCATGTCCTGCTCCGTGATTCGTTCATGCCGATTGAAAAGCAGCAAAATAGCCATTTGAAAGGTGCTCAACTCAATAATATGGATCGACTGATTTAAATGACAGGATATCTCCCCAGATGATAAGTTGTTATTAAATTCAAAAATTTTTCGCTCATTGCGAGAATGATATTTTAAAAACATCGAAAACTCCATCGAAGCTTGCTGCAATTCGTCGGGAAAAGTGAACTTAAAATTCGGTTCATTCTTTTTTTGGAAGCATTTTGGACGAAAATCGAATCCTAGCTTGACCCCCTTGAAATTCAAGTGATCTTGAAACTGACTTTTAATGATCCTTGACAATTCTAGCTCCTTCAACTGCTGCCTTAGATCCCAAATGAGTAGATCTCCAAACTTTTTGCTCAACAGCGAAATCATTGTGGACTCATTGCCGTCCGAGGCTGATGTCTCCTTGATTTGTCGAATCCGAAGCATGTTCCAATAGAAGCGTATGAATGTGTCCTTGTCGTTCAGGAACTCCACTAGTACAACGATCCGCTTAAGTTCTTCAATAATAGCTTTTTCGGACTCCTGCTTTTTCCTCATAAGTTCATCGGCATACATCACAATCAGAGAAATGGGATTCCTTTCCTCATCCACTTTGTTGATGGCATCCGCGCACACCCGATCCACTATAGCCAAGAGGTTTTTGTGGTCCCGTATTGCCCGCGTCAAAGTACTATTACGAACTCCGAAGATGGCTTGGATATAGTCCTTGCATGTTAATGATTTAGCAATGGCCTCCTGCAGCTGCGCAGCGAGGTGCGATCTTAGGAAAGCCCTAAATTCGAACCCATCCTCGATTTCTGGCATGGCTAGGCATGCGTACTTAAGGAAGTGCTTGAAATCGGTGTGGTCATTGGATACGATGATCCTTTGGAATTCGGCCATGGTCGATGTCTTGTAGAAACACACCACATCCTTCATGAAAACATTTTCGAGCTTGGATAACACTGGCACTTCTTGCTTCTCATCGTTGGCGTACAGCTCCACAATGGATTGGAGCACCTGGTACACCAATGCCTTAGTGCTTTCACTGTTCTTCTGCCTCAAATTCGTGGTAATGGCATTGACCAGCTCCCTGTCAATGGGACGGAAGACCTCTTCCTTCCATTTAATCATGGCCATGCGATATACAGGTTGAATATATTTCCTACCCTCAAACCTCTCCCGTTCCACCCAGTTGCGGTTGATGTAGAGGCAACCTTTGTCCAGTATCTCGCATGACTTCTGATACTGCAGCCAGTGCTCCACATATTTGGCGATCAGGTCGTCGCGATACTCTTGATTCTTAATAGCCTTTGATATGTTCTTTAGTCGAAGGGTGAGGTCGCTGCCCAACCACGCGTAAATATATGTTCCTCCATATTGGCTAGGCGCATTCATGTTGGGCGCCCAGGTCGAGAAATATTGGTAGATGTGGCTGTAGAACTTCAGAATCTGCTGTCCATCAAATGGAATGTGATCGTCGAAGATCTGCCTCAGAAACTCGGAAGTCGTCTGCCAGAGGATCCCCAAAGATTCAATGCAATGGGTCTGTTTATCCTTGTGGTTCATTGTTTTATTATAAGGTTCTACAGCAAAGACAATTTTTTTTAAGTCCCGGAAGTCCCGGAAAGTTCAAATTTCAACTTTGAATTTATAAGAATTTACTAGTCGTCGATGAGTAATACATAGGTCTTATCAAATTAGAGATGTTATAATTTCGACAGTACCAAACATTTATTTAAAAATCGATAGCAGATGTAAATATATAACGAAAATCCTTTTATGTTTATATTGTATTATCCATTTATAATGTATTAATAAATATTGGTAACCATCGAGCACCATTTATCCGGGAGAGCAAATAGGTTCCTTAGCCACAGAGGCAAACCCTTCTTATCGATACCTCCATGTCACCATTAACTAAATATAAAATAACAAAGAAAAATAATTCTTGAAATGTATTGAGAATTTTTCAGAATTAATGGATGATTGCTTCGAAACTATTTATTTTGCTTTGTTCCATTTAAAAGTATTTTATCCGAGAATTATCAAGTAAAACCATTCACAATTGCCGTTCTCAATCATAAATGCTGTTTCTAAAGAAATAGTATATTTTATTTATTGAAATGCGCACATATGGCAATATAAACTTAATAGCTTACAAATTTATATAAAATAAATTTAAATTGTTCGACACGTGCAAACATTTTCCCCACCCCTCCTACATTTTCAAAAAGAACAAGTTTCGCTTCTTTTTAACCTTTTCCAAAGCTGGTGCCTGTTCAGACTCATCGACGTCCTTATCGAGGTCTGACTTTTTGCCCTTGCCCAACTTATTTTCCTCCTTAAGTTTTTTTCGCTCCTTTTTTGACAACTTTTTGGATGATTTGTCAGCGCTTTTCGGATCGCCTGGTGGTTCCTCGCGCTCAGAATTGTAGACATGAAGTCGATTCTTGATGCTCATATCCTCTCTAGCCTCGCGAACTCGGTCAGTCTCCAGGCTATCAATTACTTCGTTACGCATTTCAACCACCTTCACAAGGCGATTGATTAATACTTCCTCATGGGCTTTATCCGAATCGGTTTTGTTGTGCTCCGGTTGCCCCATTAATACTCGTATTTCATGCTCTATGTCCGCTTGCTCCTGTTCCAAGCGATGCTGGCGGCGAAGGTACATCAGCTCCGCTTGTCTGCGGAACAATTCGTTCTTCTCGTTGACCAGCTCAAACAGTTGCAATATAAGATCTTCCACTTCCTTTGAGTTGGTTAGTACTTCTGCAGATTCGGGACCATCAGCTTCGGTGGCATCTAGGGAACGCTCACAGCGATCCCTGATCATTTTCTCCAGAATAACGCCTTGTTTCTCCAGACCCAGCTGTTGTACGGCAATAATTTCGAATTCGTGGCGAATTTCTTGCAGCGGAAGCCTTTGTAAGACTTTGCGTGGTGGTATTGGAACCGCAGGAGCTGGTCCCTTTCGCCTCTTCCATTTCCCATGCGTGGATTTATTGTGCCCCAAGGGGCTTACGTTTCTATCGAAGTGGTTATAAACAATAGGCGACTTTTGATCCTCTTTGCTGCGTTCCATAGTGCTTTCGGGCTGAGTTGGCGGCACCAAAATGCGTCGGTATACCACATTTACCTCCTCGTCGGCATTGGATGTGCTTAAACTCTCTTCGTAATTACTCGACTCGGTTGCTTCATCGGACAGCAGACTCTGGTCAAGTGGTATTAATCTTCTAGTTGAATCAACAAAACTTGGAGCCTTGTGCTGAGTGTGCAGCCGTGCCTTTTGTTCGTCAGATAACTTTGAAAATCCAGGATCACTCTCAAAGTCCGTCTGTTTTGGGGGCAAAGGTGCCTGGCGTTTCTTCCGCATCGGAGAGGTAATAGAGCTAAGACTGGTGGTGGGACTCGATTCTTCGCTTCGTAGTGGACTTCCCTTTGAGGCACGAAGTGGCTTGCGAGGCCCATTTGTAGATGGCAAGGAGATGCTTGAGCCACGATCATCTGCTCCGCGATCGAACGTTCTCATGTTATCCAAATGCTCCGAGGATGAAGAGGAAATATTACTTTTCTGACCTTGATGCATGGGTTTTGCTGGACTCTGGGCTTGTGATATAGATATTCTAGGTGTTGGCATTGGCATTTTTTTTCCTTGCGAAAGTGTAGGGCTTGAATGTGGTTCCTCTGCCGGTTTGGAGATGGCTAGACCAATTTTAGGTGGGGGTGGACGGGGCGGTACTACTTTGTCTCGTTTTTGTATTGGGACTTTGCTTTGTTGGGCTGGAATGGATTTTAGAAGCTCCACTTCATCGTCGGAGCTGTCGAATGGATTTGCACCTTTGGAAGATTCATCATCTTTAAAAGGATTTAAGTCCTCTGGATAGTCAGTTTCAGATGCTTTTATCTCAATTACTTTCTCCTTGGGAGTCTCGAGATCCACTTGTTTTACGATATCACCTTCCTGCTGCTTAGAGCAGCTTTCTGTTTTTGAGAAAATTTCATTTTCTGTACGAGGGCTTATATTGTCTTCTGATTTAATGGCTACTTGAGCGCTAATTTCGGGAATCAGTGCTTCTTGTGATTCTGGAATGAGTACATCTGATGTATTGTTGAAACTAATAGCTGCTTGTTTATCTAAATTATCAGGGGGTATTGCATCTACAATAAGGCTGTCATCTTTTAGATCTACTGAAACCGTAGAATCCTTATCTTTCTCTTGTGGCCCAGGCTTCTCAAGACTTACAGCCAGTTCATTGTTTTGTTCAAGGCCACCATGTTCATCGTCTAGAGGAAGAGGATCGATTTTTGGTTTCTCTGGTATAACAGGCTTCACAGGACTATTTGTTGGTTTAAAACTTTGTTCAAGAAGACCATCTTCTTCGTCTAGTGGATCAGAAGAGATTTTGGGTTCCTCTGAATTGCTGGGCCTTACTGGACTAATAATTATATCATTATTTTGTTCATTTTTGTTGGACGGCGGTTGACTGATTTCAGGCTTATCACCAGTACGTATATCGTTATCTTTCACGTCTTCTTGTTTATCTTCAGGGTAATCAGAATTTTCTGCCACCATTTGCTGATCATTCGTAGAATCAGCAGTGGTTGTCGTTAACTTAATAATGTCAGATTCCGGTTCACTTTCTTCATCGGGGCAAGTCTCGCAACAGTATATATTGTTGACTTCCGTTTCGTAAAAACTCCCGGGTGTGAGTAATGAGGAACATCTTGCACATTTTAAGCATGTGCGATGATAAGCCCGCTTTCCAACGAGGACTCTTTCGGCGAGAAAAACGGGAAGCTCGCATTTCTGACACTTATCACGTCGGGGCATTCCAACAATGTGCATCATCTTCTGCGGGGTCTCACTCTCCTCGCCAAGTGGCTCCTCTGGCTTCGGATGCTTAAGGCTCTTCCCGAGCACCTTGTAAAACTGAGATAAATAGGTTAGTATGGAGAGCCTGTCAGGTACTTCATACGAAACCATGTCAGCTGCATCGAGCAGTGCTGGAATTCCCAAGTATTTCTCGGCCGTTGTAAAGGCCAAATCATTGTTCTCATAGATATCGTCCGCCTTCAGTCGGTCGAAATCTATGAGGTCCGGCCGAAAGTGATGTATAATGGCGCAGAAGGCAAGTCCATTTCGCCAGGAAGTGGTCATGTTCTCCACCTTGACGCCGTTATATCCTTGGGTCACAACTCGGCACCAGTACTCCAAAGCCTTTGTGCCAGTTCCAACTTTTATGCCACGACGATCAGACATTTTAGTGGGTTAATTGCTGGCTTATCGGGGTATATAACTTAACGAAAACAGCTCGGACAAACTAAAGACTAAGTGAACAACAAAAGCACATCGTGTCACTTGAGTTAAATCAAATTAAATGTGTTCATCAAGGACAAATTACATTGAATGTAAACAAGGCAAAACGGTGACTCAAAAAAATCTCCCAATCAGACTTGGTGGTGGGACTGTCCAAAGCAATCGATAGTTGTATCGTATTAATTTCACTACTAAAGGACAAAACGTCTTAGAACCGGATGTTCCAAAATTCTGATCAATTCGAATTCGACACAATTTTGTCTTTTGTCTTAATTAAGTAGACGTAATAACTAAAATCATCGATTAACTATTTGCAACAGGTGATAGTGTGAAAAATCCGACGCCACAGTCAATCGATACTGTTGGGTAGTACCGATACCAACTCACTTTTTGTACATATCTAATTTCGAGAAAATAAACAAACAGTTCTGAATTAAGTTTATGTAAATTAAAATATAATTAAGTAATTAAAAACAAAACAATTACGCTACTGATTTATTGGTTTTATCAAATGAGAAATTTTGGTTGCGAATTCCTAAGCAAAGCGACTCTTTTTCATATTTCACTTTATTTTTGATCTTAGCAAACAGGCAATTAACTCGGGAATCACTTTCTTGGCTCAAAGTTGTTAATACTATTTTGCAAAATTAACAACATTATGTTTATTAGTATACAAAGTGCTACTAGATTAATCTCGAGCTGTAAGTCAGTCTATTATTTTCTCATAATTATATTAGTGAGTGAAATAGTGAGGTCTTTAAAGTGAGTAGTAAAAATTGTCTTAAATAAAGCCTGAAGAACTTACTGTTGGAACAGATAGTTATTGCCGCCTTTGATATTTGCTTACGAAAAATATTTTCTTGTAGCCCTATAATTCCCAACTAGTTCTAGTGAGGACTGTAAGGCATGTCTTCTAATTTACAGTCGAAAAATAGTTCAAGTCATCTCTCTTAGCGGTCGAGCAGTGAGTGTATGTGTATGCAGTAGTGTATATACCGGCGTATGTATGGATGTATGTATGTAAGTATGTATTTATGTATGCAGTAGTGTATATACCGGCGTATGTATGTATGTATTTATGTATGTATGTACTTATGTATGTATGTATGTACATATGTATGTATGTATGTGTGTATGTACATATGTATGTATGAATGTATGTATGTATGAATGTATGTATGAATGAATGTATGTATGCATGTATGTATGCATGTATGTATGTATGTATGCATGTATGTATATGTGTATGTGTTACTTGCACAAAGTAGTTGCTCTGAAGGTACTGAGCTACCCGGAGTGATCAAGTACCTTTTGGTCATTTTAACTCGATCACTTTTACCCGCTTTGGAAATCAGAGTGACCAAAGGGAAAATATACAAAAAAAAATCGCAATATCGATATTTGGGCAAAAACAATATCACGATATAAATATAAAATTTTTTGAAAAATATCGATATATTGATATTTTGATATATTATCAACAACCCTAATTTTAGCTTCTTGGCGTTATATCCATGAAATAGGCTGGTCACACCAACATCTATCGAGAAGTTACGCCGGCACGTGTAGTTGAGTAAAAAGTTCACTCATTAACTTTTCTCAAGCGCTCCAGTTTGCATTTAAGAATTAAAATGGTGAGTTAAAAGTGCATTGTCCCATAAGCCATTTAGAAGAAAGTTGGAAATCGAAGGGAGGGCGGTTCTTCGAGAAGGTTCCACAACTTTCGGCCCAGCTCCCATTCGCCGGGCTGTTGTGTAATCAATGAGAGAAACATGAAACATGGGTTAATTGTTGGGGCTTATTTAATGATCTCCAGGCCGCCGCTATCAAGAAGATCATACCCATGCTGGACCGCATCCTGATCCAGCGGGCCGAGGCGCTGACCAAGACGAAAGGCGGCATCGTTTTGCCAGAGAAATCGGTGGGCAAAGTGCTCGAGGGGACCGTTCTGGCCGTTGGCCCTGGCACCCGTAATGCCGTGAGTATTTCGCCATTATCTATGCGAAGAAGTCAACTAATCATTGAACATCTAACTTGAACCGCAGTCCACTGGCAACCACATTCCCATTGGCGTGAAGGAGGGCGACCGTGTCCTGCTGCCCGAATTCGGTGGCACCAAGGTGAACCTGGAGGGTGACCAGAAGGAGCTGTTCCTCTTCCGCGAGTCCGACATCCTGGCCAAACTGGAGTAGATCTCGCCTGCCACACTGTCTCACAATTCTATGAATTCTATGTTTTTTATTAGTATGTAACACACCCACAAACCCGAAACCACAGAACTACAATAAACGCTGATGCAATATTTTTGTTTGCATTGCGCTTGGACCGCCATTAAATAAATTTCGAGTTACTTGTTAAAAATAACAGCACAAATATCTGTCCTCAATTTCTGAGATCACAAGCGCTTGGGTGTTTTTTTTTAGTGTAAAAAATTTTGGATTCATTCGTTTAAAAAGTAAGGTATCTGTGGTAAATTAATTTTGATGATTTATTAAGTTTCTTTTTGCAAGCAGAAATTACGAATTATGTAACTCTCAGTGTAAATAGGCAACCATTTTTGATTTGAAAAATTAGCAATTTAATCTATTTCAATATATTGAATAAATCCCCAACGATATAACTATCTTTGAAAGTGTATACAAAAAAAGTTGTTTAAAATATACAAATATCTATATTTGAACACCTACTTAAGGCTAAGTTAATCCAACTTCAGGTTGCTCAGTCCGTAAACCTGGTTAAATGCCGATCTCCGTTTGATGTCCGGCATTCCCTCGACAGCTGCCCGCTCGCGGGAGATCTTCACTAGAGCTTCGAAAGAACGCGGCTCCCAAATTGCCAGGTCTGAAAGGACTTTTCTGAAAGACGTTATAAGTGGTTAGTGGATATTGGAATCTTCCGATGGTACCCACTTGTTGAGCAGAATATCGGAGCGCGCGAGGCCATCCTTGAAGGTTTCCAGACCGACTCCATACTGCTGACAACCCGCCTCCACGCGTGTGCTCCACAGTTGCGCCATGTCCAGTTTCTTCAGCTTTCGCCCCTTGGTGGCGTAGGCCAGTGCCCTATGGACACTCCTGATGGCGAAGGAGTAGACATTGCGGGTGCGGCTCCTATAATGCTGCAGGAATGAAGCACTACTGGCTTGTTATTGTTATTTTGGCCGCGAGGTTCGGGAACGTACCGCTGCAAGCTTGAAGATGCGTCTCTTCCGCCAGAATTCATCCGGACCACGGGACCGCACCAGAAGGGGTAGATTCAGGAAGACCATGGCTTGATATTAGCAGAATGTTGGGCTGCTTTCTTGGATTTTTAATTGATCTCAACGATTCTACTTTTTATTTTACATAACCTGCACTGAGCAGTTAACAGCCGCTTATAATGTTATCGATAATATATCGATGAACGGCGTGCAGTAAATAGAAATAATAACAATAAATAGAAATACGATATATATCTAAAAAAATATATATTCTAAAAAATATATATTCTAAAATTTAAGTAAATTTTAAAACAAACATTTTAACTACCATAACTATCGCTTATGGGAACAGTGAGTATAGGTTATACATAGGTTGACATAGTTCAAAATGTTTTTTTTTAATATTTTCTGCTAAACTTGATTTGCAATATTGATTTCTTTTAATAGGATACAAAGGCTGTAAAAATTATATTATTGATTTATATGATGTTTACGAGTCTTATGCCTTAGCGGACATTCACTGTGTTCCCTATCGTTATCGAAAGCTTTGCCGGTTTATTTACATTTCGGTGCATTGAAGCAAATGTTTTGAAAAACCTCGATTCCCGTGTTTTGGCGCACAGCAGCAGCACAAAAAGTGTCCTGATTCCTCAGCCATGTGTGCAAAAAGCCGAGTCCCAGCTCCTGGGAACGGAGGCTCCAGCCTGTGTTCCGAAGGCCGCATCAGTGTATATTGCTTTGTAATCACCGCAGCTCTAGTCCTGATCCCCTCGGTGCCCCAGATCCTTTATGGGATGGTGCCACAGGTTTGGGGTGCCGTGCTCTGGGGTCCATTTCTTTACTACGCCCTGATTAACATGATTATACGGTTTGTGCTCAGGAACCACGACTACCAGGTGAGTCACTCGATGAAGCCTGATAAACCTTATCAGTGGTATTAAATATTCTTGCCCCTCAGGTGGCCATTAGGGCGTCCTTCCTGGGCTTTGCCATGGCCGTAAGTGTGCTGGTCATCTGTTTTGCTCCCACCGAGTGGCAGCAATTTGGCGTCTACGGCTGCTTCATGTCCCTCTTCCACTACTCGGAGTTCCTCGTGATCGCATTTGCTAATCCTCGCACTCTCAGTCTCGACTCCTTCATGCTGAATCACTCCGTGCACTACGGACTGGCTGCGGCAGCCAGCTGGATCGAGTTCTCACTAGAGGTGTACTTCCTGCCCCAGTTCAAGAGATACGGATACATATGGCTGGCGGGCGTGGTCCTGTGCTCGCTGGGCGAAGTGGTTCGCAAGGCAGCCATCATTACAGCTGGTCGGAGCTTCACTCACTTGGTTAGTTGGGTTACTTTTCAACAACAGGAACACTTAAATAGTGCAAAAAGGAATGAAAACATTATTATTAAGCAAGAGCGTTTCCATGACAGCTGATCTTTAAGAAATGTTGATCTAAAGATTAGTTTAAATTAGCTAAAATGAATATTAGAAAAGTTAGTAACTAATATAGGAAATAGCTTTTAAACTTCTCACCACAGAAATCTAATTTACAAACATCCTAATTTCCTACAGGTCCAGAATGAGAAACACTCGGATCACAGACTGATAACAAGCGGGATATACGCCTACTGCCGTCACCCGTCATATGTCGGGTGGTTTTGGTGGTCCATCGGAACCCAGATCCTGCTGTTGAATCCCATCTGCATCTGCATTTACACACTGGTCAGTTGGCTGTTCTTCCACGACCGCATCTACGTCGAGGAGTACTCCCTGCTCAACTTCTTCCAGTCGGACTATGTGCGCTATCAGAAGCGGGTACCAACGGGCCTGCCCTTCATCCGGGGCTATCTGGTCGATTAGTGCCACCGATCAGGGGTTCAATGTCACAAGTCGCCATGGCGAACAACAAAATTCTATTATAGGTTTAGGTATACAAGGTACACAACAGTTCTTTTTTGTATAGCAAAAAAAAAGATGTACGAGCACATTGTTTTTTCAAAATAAGTTTTCTAACACTTAGCATATTGTTTTGTATTCATAAACTAGTCAAAGCATGTTGCTGATAATCTAATCTTTTTTGGGTTGATTGTGAATTTATGGGTGGTATTACCAACTACGTGTAACAGCTGCGTGTTTCCATAGATTATTTGATATTTAACTTTTATATCTAATGTTGCAGATAATCTTATCTGGTTTTATATACAATGTGTAAAGGCTGTTATACAAGAATTTTCTGAATCACTCATAAAGGAATCTAATTGTACACTTGCATTGTAGAAAATATTATCAGAAGTCAAATTGAATCTATGAAAGTATGGGCTGACTACTTCATGAATCATTTCAATTACGATTTGATAAAAAGCCCCCTAGATAAAGGGAAAAAGAAATTTACCTCCTTTTGGGGTAATCACCTGTTTTGAAATAGAAAACAAAGATTTCAAGTTGTGCAAACTGTTGACTTTTGTGTTTTGCGTGTGTCACTTTTGTTTTATTATCAATTTAAATTCGAATATTGCTCTATCTATAAGACACAAGCCTCACTCTTGCTATTTGTCCATGTCATTCCACATGTGTATGTTTTTGTATGTGTCTGAGTCTGAGTTATATGTACAAACAATTATCAGTGTTAACAAAATGTCTTAGTCACTCTCATTTACTTAATTAACAATTGCAAATCTTGCTGCGCTTTGCCTGCCTCCTTCCATGTCATCGTGTTTGTAAGGTTTCTGTAGCTTCCGCATCCGGTTTTACTCGACGAACTCCGGTTCGCCGGAGTATGTGCATCCTGGATTCTTGATGATGTGGCCGGCTGCATAGTTTCCGCACCTGATGCAAACGTCCAGCGACTTGCCCTGCACAAACTGCGAGAGGAAACCTCCAACGAATGCATCCCCAGCGCCATTGGTATCGACAATTTCATGGACCGCCAATTTCGTGACCGGGAACTCCTGCACCGAATCCTGCTGGATGAGCAGCACAGGATCGCAACCCTGCGTGAGGATGGCAATGCGCGGTCGCGTCGGGTTTTTCTTCTCCATCGCCACCAGTCGCTTGCCAATCTCGCGCAGGTCCCCGCTGGGCCACTGCTGGGCCTCGGCGAAGGCCTGAGCCTCCGCCTCGTTGCCAAAGATGATGTCCACGTAAGGCAGGGCGGCCAGCAGCGGTGTCATGTAGAATTGCGATATGAATGGTGCGCTGAGGTTCATTAGGAACGGTCGCTGTTTGGCGTGGGCGGTAGCCGCCACCTGCATGATGCTTGGCGGGTTCACAGTGAGGAAGAAGCCCTGGGAAAATGGAATAGGTAAAGTATTATACATTTGATCTTTATGTACTCATTTCATATAATTTGTATCCCTATATGTGGTTAGTACACATAAACGGTTTTAGTTAACAAGTTAACATTAGTTAAAAGTATTTAAAAATAAGTGAAGTTATTTGTAATTTGGTATGCAAAGAACCAAATCTCACTCGTTTACAACTGCTATAACAACTTACTTCCGGTTGTGCTATTTAGTTATTACATTCGGCATCGAATCCACCCCCAGATCTCAAAGAGAAATCCATGTACTCACCGAAATGTAGTAGTACTGGGCGTTATCCACCAGAGCCTTGTTGCTGGGCTCCTCCAGGTGATCGATGGTGAAGTTGTTGGCCGCAGCCAGATTAGCGCAGAGCGATCGGTGAGTGCCAGTGATCAGTACGGCGCAGGTACCCGTTGGCACGTCCTTCTTCACCTGGTAGTGCACATCCAGTCCGGCGGCTTGCGCTTTCTCCTTCAAGATACCGGCGTACCTATCCTCGCCGACGCAACCGAAGAACACAGCCACCCTGGGTTGTCGCAGAATCCATTGGGCAATCCTTAGAGAATTTTGCACGGATCCGCCTGCCAGGAACTCTGCCTGGAAGCCTTCGACCAGCTCCCCGTAAATGGGCATGTGTCGGTCCTCGGCCAGGATCGCATCATCCTCGTTCATAGAGTACTTCTGCAGGAAGTCCAGGGGAACAACGGCGGAGATGTCCAGCAGCGGGTTGCCGCATCCGACCAGGGTTCCTTCTCTGTGAAACAGAAAATCATTTGGATTATTAGTGCTATCTTCTCTGTTTCGATGAGTATATAGTAATAGCCCCAAACCTAATGCTACTGCTTATAGGATCGCACATGTTGCTCGTCTGAGGGACTGATGCTAATGCGCCCAATTAACGATGCCTCTAAACATCGTGTTCAGCCAGAGCTTTCAGCGCAATCAGCTGGCGATGAACTTCAGAGATAGCCCTACCCCCAGTGGAAGACGACTGGCAGTCGGGATATTGCGCATACGCCCGGTATGTAGTGTACGGAAAATAATTCTCATAGAGGTTCTTAAGGTGCATGAGTACCAACGGTAGGTATTATTTATGGTTATTTGGTACATAAAACTTATTCAATCTTCTACATTAATATTGATCATACGAACTTAACATTGTTCGGATAGGCATAAGAATATCAAATTATCTCAGCATAACTAGGCATCATCAATTTTCGGCCCGCCAGTGTGCTCTTGTTTACGATAATGCTTGTAGTTGCGGGCAAGAATTCGCCCTGCTTATCAGTCGCATATTTCAGATTCGAGATTCCAGCGTCGAAGAACCTGGCCGGATATATATACTAATTCATTCACGCCCCTACAATTGTTTGCATCTTACGGATCAGCATTTGGAGATCGTAGTTTCAGAGTTCCAGAAAACGAAGGCAAACACGCACACACACAAAGCACACGATTTTCACATGCCGCTGTAAATTTTCGGCAATTATATGGTTATATGCTGCGTGTGTGTTCGACACGAGAATCGGGAGCACATGGTGGCTATTTTCTATTTTGTTCATATTGCTTTTTATTTTGTTAATAATAAAACACCACTACACTTGCAACTTACTGTAGCGTGCTCGTCATTCTCCTCGTGTGGTTGTTGCTGTTGCTGCCTCGGCTGCCTTCTTATGTAAACATAAACAAGCTATTGCACTTCAGATCTCCGGTTGCGCACTCAGCTATCCGGCGGAGAATCGAATCGTGAGATATAGTCGCGTGTATTTATAGGATTTTTAGCACGGGCTGCCGTCGTCGAAAGCGCGAGTTGCGGGCGTTTGGGAAATCGGGATTGTTTATCTCGGTGTTACCAGGTGCCTCGGGTCAATTATGTGTGACTAACGCGTGGCGACTCTCAAGCAGGGATATTTTTGTGCACTGCGGGAAAATCGCTTGGATTGAAATATATTTAGGTGGCAAGAAAGTGGCCTATTTATATTATATAAATAATTAAATTTAACCATTTGACTTATTAAGTGGGGAACCAGTCATATTAGTTTATAATTTATAAAATATATATAAATAATATAAAATTACCTATCCATATTATAAAAATAATTAAATGCAACCATTTGACTTATTAGAAGGTTGGGGAACCAGTCATATTAGTTTATTACAAATCTTGTAGGAAAAGTTTTCAAATATAAATATTAAAAATATAAATATATAAATTTCCTTGAAGCTTGGGAAACCTAGCTTAACATATTAGTTAAAATATGAAACATATATAAAAAAGTTATAATATTTACTCGCATTAAACTTTTTTGAAACCAACAAACCACTTCTTTGAGTCATTAATGTACATAATTGTTAAATGTGTTGCGATAGTTCGCACTATCGAGCGCCTCAAAATGCAGCGCTGCTAAGACTATCGATATTATAGCAATAGCAAGAAACGCACATCTCCAGAGCCATGCCGATTTTGGTCTCTTTCTTTCCGGTTGTCAAAAGGTACAGATGTGTAGAAATACGTTCTCTGAAATAAAGAGGTTTTTTCCATCGAAAATGTGATAAATATAAACATTTACCTTTCATTTCCAGTGCAGTGCATCCTTTACCGCAAAACAATGGCCGACGTTGATGTGTAAGTGGATGTTTCATAGACGAAAAACGCATTTTACGCCTTGCTCGGAAAACCTCTTGTTGATGAAATTAATTGGTCCGTGTTTATGAATTTCCATTGATTATAAATTCTCCAATTACTGAACAAGCAAGGCTAAATCGAGTTTTTTGCGATGCTACACGGCATGTGGTACTTTTGATTGCTAATAGTATATGTTTGTTCATCCTAGTGATGTTCCCTCCGCTGTCCCCGTGCTCGATGGCGCCATGGATATTAACACTGCCCTCCAGGAGGTCCTGAAGAAGTCCCTGATCGCCGATGGACTCGTCCATGGCATCCACCAGGCCTGCAAGGCCCTGGACAAGTAAGTAGTCGCACAATCCAGACATCAAGGTGCTTATTCACTTCTTGGGATTTTCGAAGCCTCTACAGAGACTTTAAATGGTAGCAATACATATTACAGTCAAGTTATCTATAGTTTTAAACGACCTTATACGAATATATAAATTTTATAGTTGAAAGCGTAGACCACGTTTTAAAAAGTATCGGTCTTCATTCTACCTAACCTATTTATTTCCTCGACGTTTCATACGACGTTTCGTTTATTAATTGTAATACTTTTAGAATCATCTAATAACTAAAACATTTTATTCTTTTATAACATCCTTTTCAACTAAATCCCAAGAAGTGTTTCCACATGAAATCAGCTTGATTTTGATGATCTGCCTATGATGAAATTAATTGGTCCGTGTTTATGAATTTATATTGATTAAAAACCTTCCAATTACTGAGAAAATCACAGCAAATCGATTTGCATTGAATGAAAAGAACCCTCCCTGATTATAATTTGTTGTATTCCAAACAGGCGTCAGGCTGTCCTGTGCATCCTGGCCGAGTCCTTCGACGAGCCCAACTACAAGAAGCTGGTCACCGCCCTGTGCAACGAGCACCAGATCCCCCTGATCCGCGTGGACTCGCACAAGAAGCTGGGCGAATGGTCCGGTCTGTGCAAGATCGACAAGGAGGGCAAGCCCCGCAAGGTGTGCGGCTGCTCCGTGGTCGTGATCAAGGATTTCGGTGAGGAGACACCCGCTTTGGACGTGGTTAAGGACCATCTCAGGCAGAACAGCTAAACAGTTGTACCCTGCCTGCTGAATGAGAGACTACGTGAAAGTTTTTTTTTAAGCTATTCGCTAATTGAAAATAAAACGTAATGCACCTGAATCCAGATGAAAAAATAAAAGAAAGTCAACCCTTTTTACATTTTTGGAATGTTCTATTCTACTGAAACGATTATTTTGTATATTAGCTGGGCTAGAAGTCGTTTTTAAGGCAAACGAGCTTGTGCTGTGGCCAATCCTTGAGCTGACAATCACTGCAATAAAGAAATTATAGATAATGCAAACTCCATAAAGGTTACGTCTAACCCACCGGGTGCAGTAGTGCACTTTCTTGCAACTGGCACACTTCTTTTTGGCCTTCGCCTGACAAGTGGCGCAGGTGTGATCAGCATTCCCATCGCCACCAGCCTCGGCAGCCTTTTCTTCGCCCATATTAAGATCTTCTAAATTCTGCTCCAGCTCACAGAGCAAGTCCGTGCCGTATGCTTTGCTTAGACGAGTGGCCAAAGCGCAGATGCTTTCCTTGTTTTTGCTAAGAAACACCGCGTCCTGATCCTGGGCAATCTGATAGAAGCCGCCACATTCCTCGACATCCTTCAGCAGATCCTCCTGTATCTGGGGAATGTCCTCCAGCAATAGCGGCTGCGACTTGGCTGTATTGCCGCTTAGCGTCATCCGGCTGAGGAACACCTTCAGCTCTATAAGCGGTGGCAGCTGGTCCAGCAAAGTCTCGTGCATGAGACCCAAAAGCTAAGGAAAATGCGGTGAGATTTCTCCTTGGTAAGTCAGTGCTTTAGTCAGAGAACTAAGCCGTCACTAACCTTGCTCAACTGCTTGCAGCGTGCCTCGTTGAATACGTAGTTATCCATGATCTGAGCGTTTAGGAGCAGCTGGCGCACACAAAACCAGGCCTGCGCCTCTGGCTTGACAATCTTGGTGACGTCGTCCACATTGGTCCACTTCTCCTCGATGAACTTCTGCATCCCCTTGCTGGTCTTCCTCTGCCACGGGCTAGGATGATGAGAAGTATGTGAAATAAGAAAAATGCTCAATAATCCTTGCTGCTCACCAGAAGCAAAGCACATCTGTCATGAGCCACGGGATGTCATGAGTCACCAGTAAGCGACGTGCGGCGCTCAGATGAAACAAAGCCACATTGTCCGCTATGTAATTCAGCACTGAGATGCAGCGCAACCCAATCTTATAGATAAAGTCGCGCTTTTGGCGCTCCAGCTCCGTGAGCACTGCCTCATCCACGTCCAGCTTTGTCTCATTCTCGTGGTAACCCATGCTGACCAAGCCAATGACCTGGGAAACGGCCTGGGCGCAATAGTCAATCAAATCTAGCACGGACTCCTGCAGCGTCTCACAGCCACTGGGATGGTACAGGCACACATCGAGTAAAGCCACCAAAGCAGCCTCATGATAGAGCACCGTGTAAATAAGGAACGTGGCCTGCGGATTGGGATCAATCTCCAGCAGATGCGGCAGAACACGGGTCTTCCACAGGGTTACGCAATAGGCTTCGTGGATCAGCACGCGCAACTTGTCGCGCGAGATGAGGAACTCCTTCACCTCCTCCTCGCGATTCTGGGACAGCTCCAGGGCGGCCTGCTGGCTCAGCCTGAGGACCATCTCGTGCACCTCCAGCCACTTCGAGCTGCCCACCTCGCGCACCTCAAATGGACGAATGCTCTCCACAAAGAGATACATTTCCTCCGGATACACAAAGTTCACCATTTTTTCTTGTACACCTTTTAAAAATTCTAGGAAATTTGAAGACACGTTTTTCCGATTCGTTTCGTTGATGACAACTGAAGAGTGGGAACAGAGTTAAATAAACAGGCATCGGTTGCCATGACCGGCAGTGGTTGCTAGGATTCTGGCTAGCTATGTAAGTACATATCTGCAGGAACATAAAGCATTTTAAGCATTAAATTTTATTATCAATATTTTTGTACACAAATCATTAAAGCCAACTGCATTGTTTAAGGTTTTTGATATTGATGAAGCAAAATATTTAAAACTATGTTTAAAATGAAAAGTTATCTACAAATTAAACAGAGAGCAGTAAAACGATTCAAATATAAGCATAATTTAAGAATTAACAGATGTATTTATCAGTTTAGTAAAGTAATGGTGGGAATACGTTAGGCTTGGTGAAGTAGAAAATGAACCAACTGCAGAATTTGATGGCTGCATACACAACATGGAAGTCTAGAGTTCAGAGTCTAGACGCATAAAGTTACTAACCTTTTTAGAAAATAAACGTGCTTTTCGGCAGCAGGTAGCAGTCCCGCAGGCAATTGGTTTTCATTTATTTTGGCAGCCACATATTACGGCAGGCCACTTAATTGTTGGCCACCGCACCGATAAAGGCGTTTGGAGCGTCGGCCGTGGACAATTGGAACTCGTTCAGTCACTTTCGCTGAAAAGTTGCGTTGACTGCTCATGCGTAGCATGTCATTCGAAAAAAGAGATGTATGGAGGGGGAATGGTGCATGTTTCTTTTGCTGCTTTGTGGCAGTGCGTTTGTTTCAATTGTTAGTATTCATTTAATTTTATTTATTTATATACCTAGAGCGCTTTTTCTGCACGACGCGACGACAATTGACTTCAAATGTCGTTTGGCCGATGGGGAAAAAGTTACGACCACTATGAAAGTTTCTGTGGCCTTTCGGCGTTTTCTTCATTTTTCGATAATAACCGAAGCGAATTGTAACGAATATATACATAGCTTGATAACTTTCCCAAAAGAAAATGAAAAGCGCCTTTTAATTGCCAGACGCGGTGAAAGAAATGGAGCGATGGGCATTTACAGAATGCGCGATTGCGCAATGCCATTAATCGATAACCAATTAACCGATAAGTCTGTTTGCAATGCTTTCAGATTGGTGTGAAGGTGGAAACCCTTTCTCGCCAGTATTGTCCTATCCATTTCAAATTCATTTTCTCACATCGTTATTACTATTTGCACTTACAAAAATCTGAATTATGGAATGATGCGCTAAAACAAATATAGGCTAAAATACGTTTTATGTATGTAGTCTTAAACAAAACTGAATTTTTATTGTATTGGGTATTGTTCCTGCTTTGGCTGCCATTTTATTCTATGGTAATTCTATGGGTCCGCGGTTCCACTAGTTTAATTGATTCGTGCAATTAATCATTTTAACAATAAAACAGCATTGTAGTAAAATTCTTTCAAAACGCGCAACCTGTTTGCTTCCCAGGATAATGTCTCACTTTTAAATTCGCCGGTATTAATTCTAAGTTCGAAGTGGTCAAAATGGGGAGGGAGTGGAGACATGAGATGACTTGGAAGCAGATAGCGTGGCATCCAAACCCAAAATCATGGCATCTTTATGATCTGAAAATTCACATGTGCTATTTGAATTGCTGATATTTTAACTTCAAATAGAATTTCCTGAGACGGATTTTACTGGAAAAAAACTTTAAAAAAATGTTTAAAGGTATTGGGCTGGTATTCATTCCGATCTTTATAGCTACCTCTCTTATTTTCTGCTGTGTCTGCTGCTTTTGCCTCATCTGTTGCGGGTGCTGCTCGTTACTAATGCGAGCCCTTCATCTGGAACCACATTTGCCCCAGGAGCATCCTCAGCCTCGACAATTGATGGCAGTGGGATCACCCATGACCCAGCAAGCAGTGGCAGCCACAGAAGGTAGTATAGAGCCCAGAGGATGTGGCCCAAATGCCGTCTAAAGCAATATTCCATGTGTATAGTACATTAAAACAATGTTTTTTGAACGTCAAACATTAAAGTCTACGTAGCAGCCTCCTTGATCCTCCTTACATTTCTAAGTTAACTAATCGTATAAGATATATTTCCAGCAATCAAAAAGAACGTAATATATTTTAAAAAGTCTTAAGCCAGTTAAGTCTTGTTGGACTGCATTGCTAGAATGCAGTGGCTCCATCTACAGATTTCTTCGATTTTACTATCTCCTTGAAATTGAAAAATTAAACAAAGTATTGAATGGATTGCTTGATTTATTGAGCTGTGGCAGCAGAATGAGTTTCCTTTTAAGCATAATCCTGTCATTTCTGGTCGGTTTTGTGCTGTTCGTGTGCCTGTGCTACAGCCTGATGTTCCTGGCTTGCTTCTGCCTCGATTGTTTCTTGCGGAGCACTCACAAGTATCCAGATCGGCACCCACAATGGCAGCGGGCAACCCGATCCTCTGCAGCCGCAACAGCAGCAGCAGCAGAAGCAACAGCGGCGGCAGCAGCAGCAGCAACAGCAGCAACATCTGCAGCAGCAGCAGCACTTGGCACGACAGCAACAGGTTACGAGTGCGATGTAGCCGAAGATGCCATTAGCAGCAGCGAGACACCAAGTGCTTAAGGAATGGTAAACGTTACCTGGGCCGTCAGTTCAGGTTGAGCGCTCGAGTTGGTCGGTTGTTAGACGCGCGTTACCTCCACAAAGAGTTTCCGAACAGGGGCATCCAGTGAAATCAGCGGCTTGGGCGAAAGAATCCGTGTGATATTTCATTCGTTTCGTTTCGTGAAGTGTAGCAGAAGTGTAGTGAAAAGCCAATTCGAATCGGACAAGTCGCCGGCAGAAGACACGATATACGAGACGTTCGACAGAACACCTCAAGTGCCCCAAGTACAGCCAATAAGCCAACAATCAACCAACCAACCAACCAACCATCCATCCATCCATCCATCCAAGCAACCAACAGGCAACACACGCAGCTACAAAATGGAATACCGGTGCTTAAGTAGAAGTTCTGTCAAAGTAAGTGACCCCAATAAGCACAAAAAATAAAGACACTAAGCCGTAGCGCCCACAAGGAGAGGCAGCTGCAAGATCTCTTACACGTCTTGGATTTTCTTTTTCATTCTTTCTATATATTTTGCCTGAACTTGGCATTGTTCTCGTCTGCGACGCCGTGTTCCTTTTGGAAACCAGTATGGCATACAGAACGCATATAATATGGCCATATACGAGTGCACACATGTGTGTGCATCCCGCAGCCAGGCAACACCTTCGGTGGTCCACTAAGTGCCTGGCGCGGAGCAATGGCATGGGCTGGGTTCCGATGGGATGGCACCTCATTGGAGCTCTTCGGTGCTCCGGCATTTCGCCGGCATTTCGCCCACTTCGACCCATTTTTTTCATGTAGCCCGATCGGCCGATGGCATGAATTAGCACCTTTCTTGGACTTTCTTTTCGGCCGGTCTTGACGCATTTTTAATGAATTTACCGCGGCCAAATAACTTTTACTAGGCAGCGTTACCCCCAAACGTGTATCTATGGGTATACTCGGGTATTCCACTCACGTCTAGGCCCTGCCACTTGAATTGGCAAAAGTTAGAGAGCTCTCGCGCTTTATGCTTCCAAGTGATATATGGCCCTGTCCAGAGGTCGAGGAATGCGGCAGCAGATCTGACCCTGCGATTGGGCACGCTGGTGTGCGGAATGCAGCTGCATTCCTGTGGGAAAAAGACTTTTCTCTCTATTAGCAGCTCTATAGCAGTTGTGAGCCCTAAGTTGTAGGGTATGAAATCGTAGGGACCAAAGAATCCCCTGTGAACTTGACCGACTTTGGATTCATGTGAATGTTAATCAGGCAGATGGCGAGAAAGCCAAAAACACGCCCACTCAATCAAATCGCTTAGTCAACGATTTCCCTTGAATGGAGCAGTTTTGGATTTCATTCGGCAATTGGATTCGATCGGGGTTTTCTCTGCTTGTCCAGCAAATTTAACGATTTAACCCGCAATCCACACAGCAACCAATCCATCTATCTCTTGCTAGTCTGTTAGATTTTGGAAATGAGTGATCAGAGATACGATGTACATTTCTACTTAATGAACATGAATGCCCCGTTACGTGTTCATTTAACATATGATTATGATAAGTGATTCATTCTGCCAGTGAACGCTTAAAATAAACGCTTATTATTTAAACACCGATTTATTTAATCGATGTTAAGGAACTGGAATTTGTGGCCAGTGTAGCGATGATTCAAAGCGTCGCCTAAATGCTCGAGTGGCGAGCACGCCGCGGGCAAAAGCGAAATAAAAATTTTATAAAAAGTAGGCTAAATATATTCATACTTTGATTTTTATGGGTTGCGGCCGTCTGAGTCTCTGATTCTGCCCTACAGGTAGAAGATTCCCATTCGAGCGTCACATGTTCTGGCATTCTTGCTCTTTAGTCTAACAGGGTATATAACTATTTGGGAAACGGAGTTATAAACTGTTAGCCACAACGGCGTTCTGGGTGAAATATTTCCAGCATTGCAACAACTTTGTTCCGATTGTCAGGGGAGTATATTGTCATACAATTGTACAATTGTGTTAATTGCCGACTTTAATGTAGCGCCAAAAGCTAACAGTACTAGATTGCCCAGAAGATAATGACGCGAATCATCCAGTGAAACTTCTGCCCAGATATGTATGTATCTAGATCTGCGGCATTAAAACCGAGAGCGTAATGAGTAAAAGTGTTGCCCATTGTCATTAAGATACAGCGGTTCTAGTTTTGGTCAGCCCAGCCTCAAAGTTAGCCCCGTTTCCACGGATTCCATGGATTCCTCGATTCGGATCCCACCATCTGGACAATGGACGCGGTCCAAAAATGAAAGCGCCGCTGTCGTCGACCAAGACTCAAGTGCGGGGGAGTGAAACGGAGCGGCGATGGCCAAAGGCGCAATAAGCCAGGTCCATTGCACCTGTCCCGCTCTAACTTTGCGGTCTGGCCTGGCCTTTTCTGGTCTTGCTCTTGGTCTTGGTTTTGGTAATGGTATTGGTATTGGTCTGGGAAAACGTGATCTGCATAGCGGCTGCTTCTTCGGGGAAAAAACCCATTGAAAGTTTTGTCGCTTCGGGGTTATCACGGCATTGAGCTCTGTTGTCTGTCGCGGAACGAAAAAAATAATGGAAAACAGCATAAAACAACGGTCTAATGCGCAACGGTGCTGGGAAGTAGCGAAAAAAAGATACAGAGTTTCACAGAAACTGTTCTTGAGGCGATGTAATTGATCGATAAATGGCAAAATCGGTTCTGCATAATCGATGAACAAATCATTATTGTCGCGAAGTGCCAATACTTATTTTATGTTGACAGTTTGAGTACCGCAAATATTCCCCAATCTATGGACAAGCCTAATATATCCCATAGATAACCAATGCCGCTTTGAGTCAACACAAATTCGAAGACTCTGTGGCACAGACCGAAATTTCGAAAGATTTGAAACCTCATACACCATTTACCAGCAATTCTTACCTGTTCTTAGACACGCCTTGCTGTTGACAGCTTCTTCCAAAGAATAACAATTGGCCTTTGCTTTTCATCGGCTTTTCCTGACCAACTGATCCACAATCGGCGAACAAAGGCCTTTGGGAAATTGTGTCAGTCAAGCGAAGTCAAAGCCAACGGCCAAGCACAATTCTCTCTTTCTATTCGTTTCAATCACAATGCATTATCACTGACATCCATTGGGAATGTGGAACTCCGAGAGGGGTAACGCCCGGAGCTATGGGCTACGCTTATCAATAAACCAGTTCCTGGTTTCAGCCATTAACAACATCGCATCGCGTGCAACGCCAGCTATCGAAGTCACAGTCACCGTCAAAGTCAAAGCCACAGTCACAGCCAAAGTCACCGGCGGCTATTTGTTGGCTGTCAATAATCTGTCGACATTGCCATGCTTTCCCAAAACTAATTTTCACCCGTGCAGCTGAGCTGTTAGAATTTATTTCATTTGTTATTAAACGCCAATGTTTGTTTATGCCAGCGAGTGGGAAAGCGAGATAGGGACATGGCATGAGAGGGAGACGGCGATGTGGGTCGTTAACCTCGTTATAACGGCACCTGATCCACGAACAGAGCCGCTGCTCTTGACAGTTTTGCCCGTCGCTTTGTCTCTTTTTGCCGTTTGTTGCTGTTGTTGTGGCGTCTCTTTGCCATCGGTTCTTTATGGGGATGGAGTAAGGCGTGACACCTCGTGACACGAAGTGGATTAGCGCTAAAAGATTGCCGTTCGTAATTCTACAGCTCCCTTAAATGGATGGATTAGACAACTTGTTAAATATAAATACTAACAAATTCAAACTGTAATAACCATACTTAACACAGAATGAAGTATTCACCACTTTGTTTTAGTTGCATTGTTTCCATGAGTTTGACTATAGTGATTACTATTGCTCAAAGCTTTGTTCCACTGTACTGTACACTCTAAGTTATAGTAATATAGAAATTGCTTGTTTTGTTTGTAACCCAACATATGGTAGTTGTACCTTTTTTACACTTCGTGGCTTCTATTCTCCTCATTCTGGGCGTGCGATATGCATCACGCTGTCATCTCTAAGTTCTTTCAAGCCCTGCTTGGCTCTTCTCTTTTTCTCTGTTCCTCGCGGGCAAATACAAAGCAGAGCATAGAAAATCGTTGTAGTGCACCCTGTTGCTATTGTTGTTTTTGTTATGTAAGCCTAATGACGAGGCAAACTGAAATTGTCAACGGATCGTCAATGGGATTTTGATTAATGCGTGATTTGCCGATTTCCAAAGCCCAATTATGTTCACAATTATTTGCATTCGGTACAGTCATGCCGCAATCACTACAATGAACCCTCCACAGAGCCAAGAAAGTCGCCTCATTAGGAGACGACGAAGGCCCAATCAAGAGGGCAATTACCAGGTAGAAATGCGTCTAGTGACAGGTTCAAATGGCAATGGCTTCTCCGGGTCCCAAGTGCTTTAATGTCGAATTAAGAGGGGACAGCGAGCATTTATTAAACGAAATTGCTGAAGACTCATAAAAACGGAAAGTCCGACCAACGAAATGACAATGTCGAGAAAAGCGCGTTTAATGAGACCCCCCACCCCAGAAGAATTCGACAAAAGGCGCGGAAGAGAGAGTGGAAGTGCTTGTGGCCATAGTTGCACCATCAAACCTGAAGACCCTGAAGACCGGCTGGTCTGCACGTGTGCAGGTCCCCTTTTCCGTTCGCACAGAGCCATTAAATTCGTGTAATGAATGGGAAAAGAATTAAATAATAGAATTTCGCTTTCGTTTTGGTTTTCCCACCACCGCAGTGCACACGCAATGACCATTATGGCCCCTTCGTTTTTCTTTAGTTTTTTTTTTTGTTTTTGTCAAATATTTAACTGAAAAGAAAGTTGGCTAGCAAACTTACCAAATGTGCGAACCGAACAAAACAATATGAGCACAAAGAAAATATTTATATCAATTAAGAAATATTTGCGGTATACCGCCATTGACATTTGCACAAAGGCTCGAAGAAAAGCAACGATTATCGTACATACGTGCAGCGATTTTCTCGACAGAAAGTCAAATGCAAAAAATTAAAAAAAAAAAGCAGAAAATGGCAAATTTTGTGCTGCAATTTTAATTCAATCGAAACGGGTTTTCGGCACGAATCAGGCACTTGATCAGCAGCCAAATCTGCACGGAGAAAGTGAAAGAAAATATCTACATGCGAGCGGATGGATAAAAACCGCAAGAAGAGGCAATAAAAAGTTCAGACCATATTAGAAGTCGACTTTGCATGCCAAGCCACTGAAAAGTATCCGCATGTCCGTATGTTTTACTACACACATTCCTACTCGATGTGGGTTTTCGTCTCTGTTTTTACTTTCACGTGCGCTGCCCCCCGCAAGATGCTTATTTATGAGCTTAATTAATTTGTTTATGGATTTCGGGGCTAAGCGGGTCAAGCATGTGAAAATAGAAACTTTTCACCGGCCACATCCCCCTTCAAACCCAAAAAGAGTAGCCCTTGGAATTCGTAATCGCCATCGTCTGCACTGGCGTACTTTTAAACCCTTTCCTAGAACTCCGTAGAGTCCCCAGCCAAAGGCAAGTACCAGACGAGTATTTATGTACATACATGGGCCATGGTCAGGGTCGTCGGTTCAACGACGGGCCATAAAACACGTTACAACTCTTACGGAACTCCAGTTCAGTACGACTAGTTGTGTTTTCAGCATGAGACAGCACTTCCCTCCTTGCGCGGATTACCCGTTATCCATAGTGCAACCTTTGTAAAGTGACCACACCTGGAAACATTGATATTCTAACTAATCTCAACATAGCGTAATCAGCACTTGAGCAAATGCCTCTGAAAGAACAAATCTCTTCTCAAATGCTTAAATACTGTGTTATTTCGTTGTAATATAGTTACGCACCTGTTTGATTAAGTCTACAGAATGCACTCTGTGGGTGCGTTTCGTTACTACGTGATCGTTGGAAATGGCACGATCAAATGCATCATTATTATTTAATGCAGTAATTTTGGTTAGAAATTTGTATATTTATCATTTCCACGCAAGTGACTTACAAGTAATTGTAAATTTTAATCTAAATTTTAAAAAATTTTTTTTATTACTATTGTAATGCCATGCCTATGGGATTGTTTCGCATACGTGCGACAACTTTAGAAAGTACATTTCGACAACATTAATCAAAGTGAAATAGAAACCAGCAGTGAAAACAAGGAATACTATAAATTCCTTTTTCGGACTGAGTCATTTTCTGGGGCTTGTCACTGGAGTTTTAAATATTTATTTTTTCCTAGAAGTTTTAATGCTTAAAATGAAGGGAAGTCTGCCCGAGTTGTTCAAGTTCTTATCAGGAAATAGGAATAATAGTAAAATTATGCCCATCAATCGGCCCAGTTGATGCTCCCCATGTCAAAGTGTCATATCTCAGACTTTAAACTACAAACATCTACAAGCTCAAAGAAATTCGATGAGGTACTTGAGAGTGTAGGAAACAATAATGGCTCAAAGGAGCTACAGCTAGCCGCGCGAATAATCTCTTTTGGCCCGTTTTATAACCCAAATCCGTACCGCTCCGTATCTTCGTATCTGTTGCAGCACCTAACGGCTCTCTGCGTCATCAGCATCGCACTCACCTGCGCAAACGCGGCATTGTGGCCGAGTTACAGCAGCGATGATGCGCCCCCCAGCCGCTGCAGCGGTGGGCGTGGCCTGAAGTACCTGTCGGGTGATGCGCTGACGGACTCGCTCGATTGCCTGGGGCCCAATAATGCGCCGTATCCAAGGTGAGTCAGCTGGGAGGGGTATGGCATGGTATGGATGGTAACTTTCTTTTCTAACGCCCATTTGACCACCCAATTGGGATCTCCGCAGCGCGGCAGTGGCGCGCACATTCTCCAACTGGAACGGAAACTCGCGACGTGGTCGCCAGAGCAAATTGCCCAGCACACTGGACCCCGCCATAACCACCAGTGCTCTGCTGAGGGCCTACGACGAGGTGAACAACGAGGCCGTCGGAAGCAGTCGCTATGGTAAGTCGGTCACCACTGCCTGATTGATCGATTGATTGATCGATTGATTGATTGACTGATTGATTGATTAATCAATCCCATCATCGCAACTTAACAGGTCGTTCGCTGAAGAATGCCACGCCGGCGCAGCAGTGCAAGAGCGAGACGCCGGCGCGCCTCTGCAAGACGCGCTACAACACCACGGCGCCCATGTATGGAGTGAGTCTGACCTCCGGTCAGCCGGTGACCATCGTCCAGAAGTTCCCCGATCTCCTCCAGCAGGTGGTCTTCGAAGTGTGCGAGTGAGTAACATTCGGTCTAAGGAATGAGGAAGCACTTTATGTCCATTCTCCTACCTAAAACTTGACATGTTTTTTAAGGAAGAAGATCCATTTGGACTTCAATAGATGGTTCCACCTTTGAAACTCACCTCTATGATCCGTTTCAGATCCTCTGAGTGCGACGTGGTCCGCGGCGAGTGTACGCAAACCTATGTGCCCTACCTGTTCCTGGTCATTCCCCTCGGCCCGGTGACGCTGACTGGCCAGGATTACGTGCTGGTGGAGAGCGGATGCGTGTGCAAGCCCAAGTACTCGACGGGTGCCGCCCAGGAGCCCAACATGATACCGTAGGGGGAGCAGACGGAGGAGGCGGTAACCACCAGGAACACCAACAGCAACCAAAAGAACTGAGCGAGCTTTGGGTCGGAGCAGATCGGGCCAAGCCGAGCTGGGCTGAGCTGGCTGGCGGCTGGCTGGCTTAATTAAAAGGAATTATTTTTTGTAGCGAAATCAATTTTGCAATGTTATTTAATGTTTTCCCCCATTCTCTCATTCTCCTTTCATTCCTTCTAAGCTGTATAAAATTGAAATGCAATTTTGCTCGAAAAATAATCAAATCCTAATGTTAAGTCTAAATTTAAACAAAATTGATTAAATGCCTCTGTGCGTTTGTAGTGTGTATTTATTAGAACCCCTAATTACGGCATTCGAAAATGCAAAATAAAAACATTCGTTTCGAAATGTGACTGCAGTTGTTTTTTAAAAATCGGTTGAATAAAAAGTCATTTTGAAAAATTTGTTAAATCCAAATGAGCCCATAACGTGTCGAACCTGACTAGAATTATCTAAAAAAACTAAGATCCTAAGATCTTATAAACCAGGAACAAATCCAAACTGATTATTTTAATAATAATTTAAAATGTAACGTTCGCATTTGAAATGAAAGAGACTGCAAACACCCTGTGCGCGGCGTTGCCAGATGACCGCCTATAACAGGAATCGATAGTTCAGCGCTCGTGCCGATTACTCGTGTTTTGAGCCGCTGCTGCCACCACTGGCGCAGACCGTTTTCACGAATATATTTTTTATTTTGCGAACGTAAAGTGCTGAAAACTATTCCGCAAATTGCCATTAAGACTTTCCGCGACGACGACAGGTGCACGAGAGTGATAAATGCGCTAGCAGTGTGCTCACATAGCGATTAAATCGGGCCAAAGGCAGCGCATCTCCCCGGCCATCACACATACATACACTCATACACACGGCGAAAAGACGCTGCGCGAGTGTGTGTGTGCTCCTGTAGACAATCGACTTGCGTGGTGCCGGGTTACATATTTTTATTGGATTTTTGACTCGCCCTCGCTGCGCTAGAAAACAAATGTGCCTGGCCTAAAGTCGGGCCACGAATTGGCGGCAGTGCACCGAAATTCCCGCAGGACTCTAATCACGAAAACGCAGCCAAGATGATGTTCACTGTAAGTCAGAAGCGTCGACTCCCCTCCCCGCAAAACTAATCGATAAATGCTTTTTCACACATTACTACCCATTCGTTTTTGATTTTCTTCTTGTAATGCTTTGCAACTGTCCTTATGTCTCCCCCTCTCCCCTCAACCAAAAAAAAAAATAAATAAAAATAAAACAAAAATAGGGCACCAACCAGCAGCAGGACACGCGGTTCAGCGACAAGGAGAAGAAGCTGATGAAGCAAATGAAGTTCGGCGATTGCCTGAACAAGAGGGTGGACATGTCAAAAGTCAAGCTGGACGTACTGCGTCCGTGGATCAGCAAGAAAATCACCGATATCCTGCACATCGAGGACGACGTGGTCGTCGAGTTTGTCTACAATCAGCTGGAGGAGGAGAAGTATCCGTGCCCCAAGAAGATGCAGATCAATATGACGGGCTTCTTGAACGGCCGCAATGCCCGCCAGTTTATGGGTGAACTGTGGGCCCTGCTGCTCTCTGCCCAGGATAGCGATTCCGGTATACCGGCAGAGTTTATACAGCAGAAAAAGGACGAGATACTCAAAAGGGAGGAGGAGCAGCGACAGCGGGATCGATCGAAATCCCGTTCGCGATCCCGCTCCCAGCGGGCCAGTTCTAGGCGAGATCGCCAGCGTGACCGCTCCAAATCCAAGTCCCGCTCCAGATCCCGCTCATTGAAGCCGGCCAACAACAACGGTTCGGTGCCCAGTGCCGCACGAGAGGCGGCCGCCAATGCGGCTGCCAAAATTCGTAAACGCGGCTCCACCTCCGCCGCGCGTCCCGGCTCCAGAGAGCGGAGACCCAGCCGACGACCACGTTCGCGCTCTAATCAGGGTTCCCGTTCCCGCTCGCGAACCGCTGGCAAAAAGACGGGCTCAGTGGAGCCCGCACCCGCCAAGACTGTCAACGGCCGTCATTCGACGGACAAGTCCTCGCCGGTACCGCCGGCCTCCAAGAACAAGTCGCGCTCCCGCTCGCGTTCTCGGTCGCCGCGCAGTCGATCTCGATCGCCCAGCGCCAAGCGTTCACGTTCCCGCAGTTCCTCGCGACGTAGTCGCCGACGAGGACGCTCCAGCAGCATATCGCTGTCGCCGGAGCGCAACCAAGATCACTTTGAGCACCGGCGCAACAAGAACAGCGTGCAGAACAAGCGGCAATATCGCAACAATCGCGGCGACTCGGCTAGTTCTATGGAGCGCGGTAACGATCGAGGCAGACAGTTTGGCGGCGGTGGAGGTGGCCGTCGAGGTGGCAGACGTTTCTCACCGCGTGGACGCAGTCCCATGCGACAGGATAATGGAGGAGGTGGCGGAGGCAACGGCGGAGGCAATCGCTTTCAGCGATCCAATTCGCGTCGTCGGTCGAGATCCCGGCGGCTATCACGCTCGCCCATGCGGTACTCTCGCTCTCCAAGACGGTTAGTACACTCTGTCACCTAATTATCAATGCCTTAACTAATTAAATCATATTACCTTCGTTCCGTGCAGCTTTAACAACCGTCGGCGTTCGCCCATGATGAACTTTAGAGGTGGAGGACGTGGAGGCGGACGTGGCGGCGGACATCGCCAGATGTGGCAGCATCGCGGCGGATCGCCCAACTTCCGCGGTGGCGGGCGCATCCACTGGCAGGCCAGACACAGTCCTGGCGGCGGAGGGCGTGGAGGTGGCGGCGGAATGGGTCGCTTCGACAGACGCCAGTCGCCGCAACAGAATCGCTATAATCGCGACCACCGCCACCAGTCGCCAATGCAGCAGAACCAGCCGTTCCGCAAGCAATTCTCCCCGCATCAGGGGCCGGGACGTCGCTTCTCGTCGCCGCAGCAGCGTCGAAACTCAAGAGATCGTCGCCCGAACTCGAGGGAACGGCGCAGCTCACCGGGTGGTGGCGGTCACATGAACCGATGGGACAACCAGCCGCCTCCCCGAAATCGGCGCTCATCATCGGGAAGCTCGGCAGGTGGACGGCAGCAGCGACAGCGCAGCGCCAGTCCGCCGGAGAAACGGGGTCGTAGCCATAGCCGCAGTCGCAGCCTCAGTCGCCAACGAAGCCGTAGTCGCTCCAGTTCGCGACGCAACCGCAAGCGGGAGAGTCCAGTTGGTAAGTGACAAGCAAATATCAAACTTTAGAATGGGTTATCAAGTGTAGACGCCATTTATTACAGGACGCTCTTCGGTGGAGTATGCTGGCCCGGCGGTCAACACCATCGATCTCTGTCGGGAGGAGCAGCAGCGCAAAAACAAGCCAGAAACCATCATAGTGTTGGACGAGGGTCCAGCCGTGCGCAGCAGCTACGCCAGCCTGTCCCGCACGCCCTCACCGTTCCTTAAGCCCCACGAGCGTCTAGCCGCAGCCAAGGCAGCTGCTGCTGCGTCTGCGGCGGTACCAAAGAAATCCCGCGATCAGAGCCAGAGCAGCAGTTCGGACAGCAGCGCCGAGAGCGATGACAGCGAGGAGCAACCGCGTCGTAAGAAGCAGTCAGCCAACGTACAGACTTCTAAGGGCAAGAAAGAGAAGGCGCGGCGCAGCTCAGAGAGCTCAACCAGCAGCGAACAGAGTGACGATGAGGACAACTCCAGTGGGGATGAGAGGCTCAAGAAAAAGCTGCAGCAACAGAAGGGCAAGGAAGTGGCGGCATTAAAGGGAAAGGAGAAGGAAAAGGACAAGCGGCGCTCGGACAAGAAGTCCAAGCGGGGTGCAATGTCCAGCGGCGATGAGGAGTCGACGAGCAGTCGCAAGCGCGTTCACAAGAAGTCACGTCGGGACGAGGCCGGCGACAACAGCGATTCCGAGGACGAGCATGTGCCCAAGAAAAAGCGCAAGAAGGCGAAGAAGGCGGCGGATTCCAGTGACAGCGATTCAGAGGCCTCTTCCAAGCGCAAGAAGCATAAGAAACACAAGAAGCACGGCAAGAAGAGCAAGAAGCATAAGAAGCACAAGCGGAAGAGCAGTGCCGGCAAGTCGCGGGCGGACAGCAGTTCCCAGGGCAGCAGCGATGAGGATGAGCAGCCGCCGACGGGTGCGGCAAGGCGGAATGGAAACGCAGGCAAGCTGCCCATTCTGCTGCCGGGCGCCTCCGGACCCGGCGTCATCAACGAGGACCTCGAGAAGCAGCTGCGGGAACGGGCCCTCAAATCGATGAAGAAGCTGGACTGAACGACACGAGCGACTTTGTGCGTGAATGATTGCCCACTTTAGTCCCACATAACTGACCCTCAAATCATCCATTCATCTTGAATCGCAAATCGCGAGTGGTAAAACGTGAATCGTGAATAGTGAATCGCTCGCCCTCACAGACAGACGTACGTAGCCAGTAACATAGAAGTATACATTTAAACCAACTAAACATTCATCAATTGCATACATTGTATTTCTTAAAGTGTATTTCACATACCGTTAAGTTCTTTCGCCTAACAAAAACAGTAGCGATTTAATTAGAGAGCCAACATTAAGCGATTGAATACAGTTTGTATTATGTACAAAAAAAATGAGAAACTGATTTAACCAACATAACTATTTAGCCCCCAGTGGTTTTAAATTAAATGCATAGATTCCCATACACAAGCATAAAAAAAAAACATTAAAAACATAAAAACAAAGCAAGGATACACATAAACAAGCGTAAATCCGTTTGGCAATTTGTATTGTTGCCGCAGTTTAATTTATAAGTAGGTTTTACAGAATGTAATTAATAATGCCTAAAGCGCGAATTGTGTGTTTGAGGGGCATTAACTAAATGAGAAAATAAACAATTGTAAAATTATAAAAAGTTCGTTCAAATTTCGATTGCTTGTCTCTTTTGTATTTCGATTGCTGGCGCCCAATGCAGCCGTGTGAATTCTGGTATTTTCTTGCTGCGCGTTGCTGTACCCTACTTTCTGGTTTTAGCAAGGGTATTCCCGTGTCAATAAATTGGTATTATAATGAGGATAGTCGCTAATGTATTAAATTTTCCTTAGTTAAGCCAGACTAAAAAAGGATTAGTAATTATTAACAAACTATGTGTTAGCATAATATAACTACTGAAAGGTATTAGTTGGTTCAGCGCGGTAAATGAAAATCCATAAATGGTAGTCGATTGAGAAAATCGTAAGGAAGCCAAGCTTTCCTTGTTCAAAAACTATAAGGAACACAATAGGCGGTTGTCTAGTATCTATCACCTGATAATTTTCCATGCACCGAATATGCCTTCATGTAAATGACAATGACAATTACTAAATAACTTTAAAATAACTACAAGTGGGTTATTATTAGGTAACGGCCATTGGTCATGACGTAATTTCGGGTGTATAAATTCATAAGAATGTTAAATATTTTGGAGGCAATATAGCGGAGGCACTTGATTATAGTATTCTCGATCGTTTTTAAGTATAATATATAATTATATATTTGCGTTTACATTATGACATAGTTATGCGACAGCTGACAAAATCTAATTGATACAGTGATACAAAAAGTAACCCTGCGCGTAGCTGTCGAATCTAGTATTTAATCATTTCGCGCCAACCGCCTGCTGGCCACACCGTCCGAAAATCGGCCTTTTCCTTTTCCTGTTGTATTGCCCGACGGACGGTATGTGTATTTTTTGCAGCCAGCCACGTGCTAAATTTTGTCAATGGAAGGCCCGGCAGTGGGTATTTGCTGGCCAGCGAAGCGGCATTGGCAGAGGCACCCGATTGCTTGCACAAAACTAACGTTCGATTGTTCTATTTGCAGTGATCGCCCGTTCAATATAGTGAATCAAACATGGTGAGTATCTGTTGGCGGCGAGATATGGTTATGATTGTGTTTTTTCTCTCAAATGCAAACCATGGCTAACGGCTGAAAACCACTTACTTTGCAGGCTCGTGGCCCCAAGAAGCATTTGAAGCGTTTAGCCGCCCCCAAGGCATGGATGTTGGACAAGCTGGGAGGCGTCTTCGCCCCGCGCCCCTCAACCGGCCCACACAAGCTGCGTGAGTCGCTGCCCCTGCTGATCTTCTTGAGAAACCGCTTGAAGTACGCCCTCAACGGCGCCGAGGTCACCAAGATCGTCATGCAGCGCCTCGTTAAGGTCGACGGAAAGGTCCGCACCGACCCCACCTACCCCGCTGGTTACATGGGTGAGTTTTGTGCGGCGAAAGGGCTTCGAATGTGCCAATTACTAATGTGCTCCATTGCCCATTTCAGATGTCATCACCCTCGAGAAGACCGGTGAGTTCTTCCGTCTGGTCTACGACGTGAAGGGACGCTTCGTCATCCACCGCATCTCCGCCGAGGAGGCCAAGGTGAGTTGTCTATTCCGCCCAAGAATGCTGCTTCCAGAGGCTGGATCCAGAATGTTGTATCCAACTTAGATGGAAGTTGCCAGAATTGCCAGTTGGATGAGTTAGAATCTGAAATACTCAACTGGGGTTTTGAGTAAGCTTACGATGAACGTTCCTCTTCAAACTGTTTTTTTGCACGATATAGTTAAATATGCTAATTTTGTACAAGGTATAGAAAGGAGGCCGTCATGAGGCTTAGGTTCTATTGAACACTATTTAGTTTTGTTTTGAAATCCTACATCAATACCAAATCAATTTTTAGGATAAATATTGAATGTTATCATCTTAAATATCCAAAAGGGCTTTGTCGAAGACCGTTTTGCGTGTAGAATAGTGCGCCGATTGGTTCAAAACGAAGCCCAAAGCAATTTTTGATACGACGGTCTCTGATTTGACAAATCTCAGTTGATTCAGTAACTTTTCCGTGCAATTACAAATGAAATCAAGGAGTATGTATTATTAGTTATTCATAATTAATAAGGGAAACTGTTTGTGGGCTTCGTCGAAGACCGATTTCCGCCTGTTGCCATGTGTCTATTGGTTCAAATCGAAGCCCAAAGCAATTTTTGATACGACGGTCTCTGATTCGGCATTCCACAGCCGTCTTAGTAACTTTTACGTGCAATTACAATGTAATGAAGTGGAAGTAAGAGTTTAAAAGAATTTGGTAAAACTATAAGTTTAGTTGGAACCTCAGCTACGCCAAGTCTTGGAATTAACCTCATTTTCTTTGCTCCTTTGCAGTACAAGTTGTGCAAGGTCAAGAAGACCCAGCTGGGCGCCAAGGGAGTTCCTTTCCTGGTCACACACGACGGCCGCACCATCCGCTACCCGGATCCCCTTATCCACGCCAACGACACCGTGCAGGTGGACATTGCCTCTGGCAAGATCACCGACTACATCAAGTTCGATTCCGGTAAGGATCCCCACCGTTGATCGCTTTCATTGGCTGGTTCGAAGACCACAAAACGCTCATCAAAGTTGCGTGGTTCAAAAACAATAAGCCAAAAGCAATTTTTGTCACGACGGTCTCTGATTCGGCATTCCACAGTCGTTTCAGTAACTTTTACGTGCAATGACAGTCGCACAATCTGAGCTAAGTATTGCGATTTCAACTAATTGGATGCTTCTCGATTCACAGGCAATCTCTGCATGATCACCGGAGGCAGGAATTTGGGACGTGTCGGCACTGTTGTCAACCGTGAGCGTCACCCCGGATCCTTCGACATTGTGCACATCAAGGACTCGCAGGGTCATGTGTTCGCCACCCGTTTGACCAACGTCTTCATCATTGGCAAGGGCAACAAGCCCTACATCTCCCTGCCCAAGGGCAAGGGTGTCAAGCTGAGCATCGCGGAGGAGCGCGACAAGCGTCTGGCCGCCAAGACCCACTAAGACGCAGGAGTTTAAGGATTTTTACCTTTTAGCATAACACTCTGTACGTTGAGCAACGGAATTACAAGCCAAGAACGTAATGCATGTGTTTTCTTTTGCAAAGAAATATTCAATATTTAATTTTTGTGTTGGCCAACAGTTGTAAGGAGCAAGTGTATGCAATGAATAGTGTATAAAAACGTGGGACATGTGCGGCGTGATTTTAAGTTCTTCAAACGTTAATTATGTATGAGTTCATAAAAAGTTCGAATCTATTCACAATGCGTAAAGCTGGCTTTTAGCTTATTTTTGTGTGTTCAGCATGTGAAGTAAAACTATTAGGATTGAAAGAATATCCTCAGAATCTAAGCTTATTTAGAGTTGATATCCTCAATATCAAATCTTCAGAGTTTGATATGGCTTTCCTGAGTTTTATCTTAGCCCGTGGCAAGAATTGAAAACTGTGTAGGAAAAGTAATGGTTTTAAGGTTTCTTTTAGGACAATTGTGGTGACTTTGTTTACGTTTTCCTTACGAACTTTTAAAGGTAAGTCTTCTGAATATCGGTGTATATTCTTTCTCATGCAGCTGAAGATTTTACTAACAAATTTTTCGAAGAAAAGGGGCGAATTTAATCGAGGGGTGCATTTCAGCCCCACAGTGGTGCGTGGGGGCTGGAGTTGGCGCCCAAATAATCGATAACCCGCCCCCCAAGCATCGATAGAACGGCCGCCGCAAAAGCTCCGGTCACACTGCTCAGTGGGCTGCTGCTTCTGCTGCAGAGAATTATCATTGTATTTCGTGTGGTGAAAGGCTTTGTGCGCTGACATTGTGCGTCCCCGGATCAGAACTCGCTTTGAAGTAAGTACCAGGCCATCCCGGTGGAGCGTTCCTCCGCTGGGCGGAAGCCGTAGAAGAGCCCCCGCCCCCAAAAGCAAATCATATGCGAAGAAGAAAACACGTAAATGCTGCCCACCCATACACCGATGTGCTGCACACACCGATGCACACCGACACACACGCACACTGGCGAACATCATATGTTGATAAGTTGGCGACAACAACAACAATGCATGTGAATCATTTGTAGGGATTTGTCTGTTTGCGTTTGCTCGCAAGTGGTATTATATGTCGGCCTATTTAACGAGACCCCTGCTCTGAACTGACAGCGATATGAACTTACAGATATGTCCCAGGCCTTGAACAATCCAGGAGGCGGCAACGGAGGAGGCGGTGGCCCCCATCGGGACTATGGGGCGATGGCCGATTCCACGCCCGAAGTGAGTTTTGCGGCTGCCGGCGGTTCTTCCGGCTTCAGTCCCACGGAATTCATGTCCCTCAGCGAGGACATTGGCCACAACATCACTGCCATCCACAGCAGCACCAAGCAGCTGGAGAAGCAGCTTAAACTGATTGGGACACCAAAAGAGCTGCCCAATATGCGGGAGAAGGTGCACGCCATCAACACCAAGTGCAATGCCCGGGTGGAGACCACCAGTCAGGATTTGCAGAGGCTACAGGCGGTTGTGCGGCATGGAGATCGCCAGCAGAAGCTGCAGCTGGAGAAGCTCACCAGGGAGTTCCACGGCGTGGTGGAGAAGTATTCCAATCTGCAGCGACGCATCTCGTCGGCCATGCGACAGACCCTTCAGCAGGCCCAGCAGTTCGCCGACCAGGATGTGGAGGCCAACACCCGTGCTGAGCTGCTGCAGCAACAGCGCTTGGAGCAGGCCCATCTCCAGCAGGAGCACGACATGCTCGACGACCGGCGGCGGCAGGTCGAGCAAATTGAGTCGGACATCATCGATGTCAACCAGATCATGACCAAGCTGAGTGGACTGGTGCACGATCAGGGGCAGCAGATGGGTGAGTAATTTCCATATATGTATGTAGGTGGGGGTCAGCAACCGCAAATCGAGAAACCACAAGCCGTAATTAGGGTTCTCACTTTACTATAGTAAAGTAAACTCCATGGAGTTTCGGAAATTTTATAGCCTGCAAATGGAGAAATCCGTTGGTGCAACAAAATATTTCGAGCTTATCAGTTGCTTGAATGTGACTTTGCAAATCTCTTTTATGGCTTTTTTCAATTGAGTTGATAAGTTAAACATGTGCCAGAAATTATGAATCATTGACTTTGCTTCAATAGCAATGCACATTTCGAACTGATTGCAATTATTAATAAGCAGAACGCTTTAATTTTCCACATTTTGCATAAAATCAGGTGTCATTTCGCAAATAACTCCTATCATTTCGTTGAATTCAACTTCCTGTTTATTTAAGCATTAATCAATTATTTCGGGTCTTACACGAATAGGCAGATCTACTGATAAATAGTTACTGACTGTTATTGCAGGTTTAAATACTCATTAATCATCTACTCATTAGTAATATTTGCAGAAATTTTTTTAGATTGTGCATTGTACATGTTTTTTAAGGCAATTTTTAAACCGATTTCAATTTCTCCACAGACTTCATCGAGAACAGTATTGAGCAGACGGCCGCCAACGTGGAGGATGGCACCTCGGAACTGGCCAAGGCGGCCAGGAGTCGCCAGAGCTACCGGCGCAAGATCTTGATACTCCTGGTGATCGCTGTGATAATAGGTTTAATCGTAACTGGCGTTATCGTTGCCAAACTGAACAGTTAATTGTTTTATTTGTACGCCCACATTCAAACACACGCAAACATACACAACCCACACCCACACACGCATAGATTTTTGTAAAACGATTTTTATAAGAAACAAAATATTCGATCGTTGATAACTCTGTTTAATCACCAAGTGAGCAAAGACAACAAGATGTAGAGGAAAAGCTAAAGCAAAAAATAAACAAATACCATATTTATAATTATATATATATATATACATAAGTAAATAAGGATACTGAATCCCACTTAACTTGCATATAAACAATATTCAGCGCTTTTAAATGTTAATTATTTCTTGTTGAAAACGATTATCGCGAGCAATTTAAGTTTTGCATTGAAATTTGTAGAATTTTTGTGTTTAGTTTCAAGCAAGCGTAAGGGGGATTGCCGAAGCCGAATGCGGTTTCAGTAATCCCTTTTGATATATGTTACAAGTTATAAATAAGTGAGCCAGCAATCGAAAATAAAGTAAATCGAACAAGCCAATTTGTGTATTTTGAAAGGCGCGCCAAGTAACGCAAGGCGAGTGGAATAGGTTGGCAGTCCGCTTAAATCGATAGCACGTAATCGATAGACTTATCGGTGTGGGTCAAAACCAAAACAACGTGCTGCGGAGTAGAATATTTACATTTGGTTTTCTTGATAAAAATACAATTTGCTAAGATGCCACAGGGAAAGTTCAAGAAGGCCAAGCTGCCCGCAGCGATACAGAAAAAGAAGAACCAAAAACAGGCTGCCTTCACCCGCCGTTCAAGTGAGTACCAGCATGCCCAACAATCTCTATCGAAATATAAGTTTCTGGATGAATACTTTGTAGATGCGCCCATACAGGCGAAAAAGGCCAAGTTCAATGAGACGCAGAAGATCAAGTCCGTCATCTCGAAGTCGGTCAACAAGAGCGTGGAGAGCGAACTGCGATCCCGCGCCCACGAGGGATACATCCAGTTGAGCAAGGCCCAGGAGGCGGTGGCCAAGCACCACGCCTCCCAGGCGAAGGCGGCTGCGGCGTCCAGTACCGCCAAGTCCGCGGAATAGCTTACTCTAGGCCTAAGTACATTGTTGATAACCGAATGACCTGCATATTGTATAGTAAAATCTTTTTAAACTATTTCCATTGTTACAGTATCAATTGGCACTGAGTGGACATGAATTCTCCTCAGTTGACCAACTGCGTTCTCCTCTAAAGGTTCTCAAAAGGGTTTTTACATCCCAGTAATAGCTGAGCATTTCAGCTTAAGGTCATTCTTACTACTCGCTGTCTTGAAATACTCTACTAAACTTGTAAAACTACTTACATTTTTAAGTTCCTGCTGAATTCAATAGTCTTGTGGCCAAATTTTTTGATACCAAATCTTTGAAGTTTTGAAAAAGTTGAAAGATGTCCAGTGCAGAATACATTTTCCTACAATATTCAATATTTTTTACAATATTCTTACAACGATGACATTTTCTTTTAAATTGCGCGCAAATTATACGAATTTTTGAAGTTTGCATTAAGTTTTCTTGTTGTGAGCTTTGACTTTTCCCCAACGCTGTCTCAAGGACTTCTTGACCAAGTACTACAATGCTAACTTTGACGTTTGGCCAATTTATGAGCGGACCTTTGGTGGAAGAACTTTTGCATTCAGCTTCCTACTTATCACAATCAGTTTGTTTAATTATAAAAATAGTTGGCCAACAAAGTTGGTTGTGCTGACATTTATTGGACGATTCGCTGCGGCTCCGTTCGCCCAGAATTCCGGAATTCCAAAATTCCGTAATTCCGCTCCTTTAACGACAGCTATTCATGACTAACTTTTTTGGCATTGGCAGCTTTGACGAAGTGAAAAGGAAAAAGTGCAACTAACAATTTCTATTTAATTTTCGCAACGTTTCGTTTCGTTTGCTATGCAAATTCTGCCCGCTTTTGATGCGCTTTTAATTAGCCAGCATCCCGCACTCACATGCAGCCGGAAAAATTCACAGCCAATTGAGTGTTTTTGTTTTGTTTTCTTTTTCCCAAAACCCACCCCAGCCAGCCTCTTTTATCAAGCACTTTGATTCCGCGCTTTTTCAATCGCATGCAAATTAGCCACGCCCGCCGCCCACTTACCTGAGGAACAGGTGACAGGTTCCCCAGGTGCTCGTTAGTCGTTTTTTGGGCGTTTTGCGTTTTTAGTTTAGCACCAGATTGAAAGTGCTTCCAGCATGCAAATGCATTTCTGCACTCAACCAGCAATTTGGGGGACGGACCTTTCGGAAATGCAGTTTTAGTGCCGGAAAGAAGCAGTTGATATCAGACATTCGGAACTTTTTGACACCTATCCAAGCACACTCGCCACTTTTTGGGGGTTTTGAATATGTCTTGAAGGATGTCGTGGGGGAAAATATTCAAAGGAGTAAATAGAAATCTATGGCACAGCTAAACTTTTCTAATTTTTACACAGAAGACATCTGGTATTTTTATTTGTATGCCTGCCCTCCAATAATATTTGAAATTATTATAAAACTATACATGTTAGCTGGAACAACTGCGTAGCATAGAGAGAAATCTATAGAGTATTCCTCATGCTAGCAACTTTCAATAAAAACTGTCTACCCTTTTTGAGGCTTTTAGCCTGGCGTTCCACTTGATTAGCAGCCAATCTCCTCGCACTCACCAATTAGTGAGCAAATTGGTAATAGCAGAGACACTTGAACATTTATGCCAATCGAACAGCATTAAAAAACGCATATCTCTTCAACTTAAAGCCAGCGCTGGAATCCCTGTCTCCCACATCAAAGTGATTGTTTTTGGCGTTTCATTTTATGGCTTATTTAATTGAGCATTGCATTTTGACCGCATTTGCCAGGAATTGATTGATTTGCATTCAGACTCATCCATCCCGACCACCTGACCATCCGACCATCAAATCCACCCACCAATCCCCTTGCCCACGGGGCTTAGCTCAGTCCATTTAATTAAAATATTTCGAACAAAAGGAGCGGACACCTTTCACGCATCTCCGCCCTCACAAAGGATAAAAAGCAGCGTCCAGTGCGGAAATCACACGGCCCAGCATCCTTTTTGCATTTTCCATCATTTAAATGATGCGTTTCTGTTTGCCCTTGCGTTTGCATTTGCTGGCTGCCTTCAGTCGGTCGGCGACCTATTTGAATAGCGACGTGTGTCCCACTGTCGGGCATTCCAGGTAGCAGCCAGCAGATCTCCGTACACTCAAAAAAAAACATTGAAGAGGAGAGCTTGGTGAGAAATTAAACAAAAGGTTGCGTTATAAACAAAGCAAAAACTACTATCTCACTTATGATTCAAATTATAAGATTTTTACGAATATTTCTCACTTATGGAGATAAACAATGTTTAAATATATTTCTAAATCGCTTTAATGCCCTATATATCTTTAAGCACATAACTTTCTTGACGATGTGGTTTCGCCCCACCTTTTGCTTTAATTATATGAAACAGATACATGTGAAAGTGTAATAACAAGAGATTCTAGCAGAATATGGGCCCGTTTTTTCAGAGTGTATGGGGCATGGACCACGGCTACCTGGTCACCTGGTCAGGTTGTCCGCCATCTCATTGTGTGCGAGGCGCGCATGTAAATTTGTCCAACTGCACAGGCAAACACTTGAAAAGCGAGCGACAGAGGCCCACTGCTGCCGGCCACCTGCGGCATTCCACGCCAAGCCATGACCATTCAAAAATAAAAATAAAACAAAAAAAACCTAAAAACAAGAGAACCCATTCCATTCGATTCCGTATTCATTATCTTTTTGTTTTTGCATACAATCGAACGCTTTGGTTCCTGGTTTGAGTTCCATATCCTTTCTATGCGACGCGCGGCTTCTGATTTATATGATGAATGACAATGAGCTGTGTTTTGTCTATTATTTCGTTTTGGGTATTAAGTTTTTCCATTTTTTGCTTTTTACACTTCTTATAGGGGATTATATTTGAAAATAGAAGTGCTGAGATTAGAGCAAATTTCGGGAATTTCTTAATCCAGGCTTAGTCTCAATCATTGTATATGTTTTTTATATTAATTTAAATGTACATTTAGAAAAATTCATCCATTCATTCAGATTCTTCTCTTACATTTTTGATATCGTTGCTACTAATTTCCAACACATTCCTGTTTTCCCTCGCCATCCCATCGCATTATTAATGAAGAACTTCGATACCTTACTAAATTATACACCCTTGCCCTTGAGAACCCAGGAAAGAAAACTCACCTGTCCACACGGATTTCTAACTTTTAATACATAAATTAGGGCTCAGAGCCGAAATGCGAGGAAAGGAAACAAAAAGACAAAGCCATCCACGGCATTGAAGCGATAAAGACCCGGTTGGGTCATTGAGATATTCCACCTGCAGTCGCATCGTATATGCCCAGTCCCAGATCAACAACATATAATAATCCCATCAGCATTTTTGGATACGCTTTGCAAATGAATTGTAGAGCGGCATTCCCGATTCCCAACCAAACCGGACCGAGAGCGTGGATAATAATAATGTGGAACCGAAAATGAGCCCCGGATCCCTGACTACTGACCACTGACGTCTGACGACTGGCGACTGACGACTGGCGACTGGTCAGCGAAGGTTCTGCATTTGCACCTGCATCGGATCGGAACTTTGATGGCTTATGGCGTGGCTTATAATTAAAGTGAACTTGTGGATACAACTTGATATCCTCGCCGATGTGCTCCATAAAGCATATGAGCGCGCAAGATTACATAATGGTTTCGTTATTAAATGACTTACATTTGCATTTTAAGAGCGGTGCGGTGAGAATTTCTTCGCTAAGAACTGCATTTTCGTTGGAATTACCACAACAACTTCCATTCGTTGCCCTCTTTATCTATAATGTTTTTTTAGTGGTAATACCTATGTCTATCTGGTAGTAAAATGTTACTTTTTTAGTTCATGCCCTTATTAATTTTGGTATGACTTGGTAAGCATTTAATGAAAAGGTAGTGGCTATGATGAGATATTTTCTGAGCCCTGCCTAGCGAACCAAATCTGCGATAGTTTGTGAACTTAAATGAAATTGATGAGAAATAACCTCTGAGTGTAGCAATGTTAAGTATTTCGGTTTGATGAAGTTGTAATTGAATTAAATTCCATCTATCCAAACTTTTTGCAGCCAATGCTGAGGACATTTATTATTTAGTTAACATTTTCCAAATCATTTGCCGTGAACATTATTTGCGCAACTGAATTATTAAAGCACCGGGTAGCATTTCACTTCCGCTTTCTGCAAATAAAAAACGAATATTCGTCGAAAAAACAAAGGCTGAAAACCTGAAACAAGAAGAAAAGACAGCGAAGCAAAAAAATCAGTTGTCAAAAGGCGGAGCCAAAAGCGGATGTAAATGTGCCCAGCTGCATGCCAAAAACTGCAATTGTCATCAATACGAGCCGGAGAATCAGGATGCAGAACCCAGGATTCGGGGCGGCACACAAAGCCAATCCATAAAACAAAAGCAACAAAAGAGCGAAA